CCAAAGACAATCCATATCCCTTATATTTTTACTCCTACCGGGAAGCTCTTGGGGATTACTCACCACCCTACCCTGACCTCCTCCCGAGCCTGTCCTCACGAGTGGCTAAAATGCTGCCCGGTTTTCAGTAACAGAATCAAGGAAGACACTCGCAGCCTAAAATGGCACAATTTCACCAAGATTCTCTCTGGCATTCTAGGAGTTAATACACAGACGCTCAGAATACCCGGAAGTATTTTCTCCTCAGAGGGCGGAGCTCGGGCGTCATTTATCTTGTGCATTCTGGGAGGTGTAGTCTGGGGTCCTTGTAGCCTGCAGCACTTCCGCTTCTGGACGGCTGGAGCAGGGGATTGTGGGAAGTGGTCCAGGGGCTACCTCTAGGCGGAAGGAGACTCGTTATAGGAGTGCCACGCCGCTGCTCACCTTCCTGTAAAGTATCTTCTATCCCAGGGACCTTTCTAAAACAGAGCAGGGAGCCAGCGGGACCTCTGCTCTTGGGGAAAGGAAGAAAAACCACGGCTGGCAGAGGAGGGTGGAGTTGGGAGAGATTTGCGTTCCCCTCTCGCTAAGCCTCCCGCGGGGAGCGCCTGGTGCTTCTCGGGGTTGGGGCGGCCCGGGTCTCGTGGCGCTCCAGCCGGCTTTCCTCACCGACCAGTCAGTTCTTCCCATCAGAACAGTGTCATGCGATTTACTTCATCTTTCTTGGTCTCGTTATTCTCATCTTACAAGTAGTGTATCTGGTAGTGGTCCCTTATTATTTTACAGGAATTCGTAAAATGACAACAGCCTTGTGAGGTAGATAATGCTATTATTATCTTTTTAGGGGAAGAGATGACAATAAGTTTCATCCCATTTATACAGTCAAGCGGTTACAAGCTTTCTATACCATTATATTTTTCAACACTGGATACATGCAGTCCAACCACTAGATCTATGCATTCTCAAGATTAACAATAGCTTTTCTTCCTATAAGAGGACTTGACTGCACCATACGCTGCAAATTGTTTGATAAATTTATGCTAAAATTTCCTTGGAAATCATGTCTTAGGTAATTGACTTTATCTGAGGGAGTAATGAAATGTATCTTATCTCTCCTGCTAGCAGATCTGCAGTTCAGAGAACAGCACCTTGGTTCAACCCCCACAGTGATAGGGACACTGGATTATTTTCTCATACATTTACATTTAAAGGGGACAAAGCCCTGACCTCTTATTTTATTTTTTAATTGTTTAATTTAAAGCCCGGACCTCTGAAAAGCACTTCGGGATTCTAAACTTGGTAAGAGGCTTATTGAGCCTCTAACAAGATTTACATGTGCGTCTAAAGGTCAGAGAAAAGATCCCAAAAGCCCTGGGTTTCCTATGGAAATGCTTTAAGAAAATGCCCTTATCTTTTGGACACGGAAAATTCCTTTTTTTTTTTTTTTCTTTTTCATTTACTCTTGGTAAGCTTGTTTGCCCAAAACTTACAGCTGGTAAGAGGCAAAACTGATATTTGAACCCAAGGTGTTAGAGCCTCAAGTCTATGTTTTTAATCTCAATGTTGTACATAAAAAAAAAAAAATAACAGGAAATAGTTCTGAATATGTTCTGAGGAAGTTTTTTTTCTAACAGGTTTAGAAGATCTTTTGGGGATTTATACTTTATGTTCTTATTATAGTAAAGTATATGCCCATTATAGAGAGATTAGGACATATAAAAATATAAAAAGGAAAGAGTAGGAATAACCTGTAATCTCAGGGTTTAGACATAATCACTGTTAACATTTGTAATGTATTTATGCATAGGCGCTGTACTACAAATCGTATTTCTTTCTTAAATTTTATTATTTTGGAACTTTATTCCAAATAAATAGGAATTTATTCTTATGGATAAACACAAATGTGCACAGAGAAAATAGTGTAATGCACCCCCCATCAGTCATCTGCAGCCCTCATCAACATTTTGATGAGGCATGGAGCCCAATGCCGACATGAGCTCATGATCCTGAGATCAAGATCTGAACTGAGATCAAGAGCCAGATGCTTCATGGATGTACAATTATTGATAATATTTTAATCATCATAAAGCAAAGTTACTAAACCATCCACCCCTCATTCATGTTTCCCATCATCTGAGGATAATATTTATTTTTTACAGGTTGGTCGTGAGTCAGGTCGAGTTTCCAGTGCCCTTATGTGTATTTATCAAGATGTTCCTCATCTTAATCCTATTGTTATCTCCACTTTACAAGTGAAAAAAAGGACAGAGTTCACAGAATAAGTGGCAGGATTAGTATTTTAATCTAGGCAGCCTGATTCCAAGCCTGTAGTCTTTTACACATTGCTTTTATTAGCATACAAGACAAAACCCCACAAGATGTCTTATTGGAGCAAAGGATATTTAAGCTGTGGGGAAGACTGCACCCTGTAAGTGGATGGAGCAGGTGAGTATGACCTAATGAGCAGCAGATATGATGAGGCTTTAAAAATTTTTTTTTAATCTTTGGAAAGATTTAACTTATTTATTTGACAGAGAGAGACACACAGCAAGAGAGGGAACACAAGCAGGGGGAGTGGGAGAGGGAGAAGCAGGCTTCGGGGTGAGCAGGGAGCCCATTTCAGGACTTATCCCAGGACCCTGGGATCACAACCTGAGCCGAAAGCAGACTCTTAACTGAGCCACCCAGGTGCCCCTCAAAGAGGCTTTTCATGGGAGTATACGTTATTCACTACAGCTGGGCATGAATACAAAGTGGATTTGAGAAGGAAAAAAATATGGAAGTTTCCTGTTCGTGTGACTTGCTAAAGCATTTGGAACTTCTTTGAGGGCACTGGATAGAAATGCAGGTGAAAATAACTGAATTTCCATGCTATGCTATATCTCTCTGGCATCAGGGAGGAAAAAATGATTGAAATTAAATATCTGTTCATGTTGATTATACAAGATGTGACTAATGAGTGATTAGCACTCAGGCTCTGTTTGTCAAATGCCAAAAATTTTTAAAAGAATTTATTTATGTATTTGAGAGACAGATCACAAGTAGGCAGAGAGGGGGGGGGAAGCAGGCTCCCCGCTGAGCAGAGAGCCCGATTCGGGGCTCCATCCCAGGACCCTGGGATCATGACTTGAGCCGAAGGCAGAGGCTTTAACCCACCGAGCCACCCAGGTGGCCCTCAAATACCAAATTTTGAAACCTGGCTTTAGCGCTTGCTATTTCAGTAATACGGGCAAATTACTTAACCTTCCTCTGCCTCTGGCTCCTGTAAAGCGAAGGAAATAATAGTATTTACATAAAAAACAAACTGACGAGAATCCCGGAGTCTAAAGTGTTTGGGATAGTCCTAGCATACTCTGAGAACTTCATGAGAGATATGTGTGCAACAGAAGGAATACATGTTTGTTATTGACAGTTAGATGGAAACGGAAAGAAGTCTCCATTCTTTTCGCTGCCACAGTTAAGAATTACAGGACAGCGAAAGGAAAGGAAAGCAGAGCAAAGTTGTATTAAAGTACAATCCAAGAGAGGAGCAGGCCAATCGATAGAGAGAATGCACCCCCACCCCACCCCCCAAAAACTCCCAGGTGTGGGCTTATATCATTTTTTCCCTTTGGGGCTGGTGCTGGGGTTGTAACATTTGAGAGAAAGTCCTGGATTATATAATAATTAGCCAACTACACATGTCCTTTTCCAAAATATATTGGAAATGCCTGCACAGGGTAGGAAACTGCATTATTTCTCTTCTGGAGACAGGTCCAACACGGACAAGAGGTGGCTTTCTGCACAAGTGCAACGAGCACAACAAACCTAACTCTTCCTCTGTCAGGATGTTGTAACCGCAAATCAGTTGCTACAGGATGGACTAGGGTGGTCTCTGGGCGGTCCTTGTTTGGGGCTCTCTGTCAGGACGTCTAAGGTCCATCCTCTTGTCGCTCATGCCTAGCTTCCTGCCCAACACGTTCAGTAAAGAAGAAATGCAAACATATATTGTAGTGGATGTATGTATATTTTGAGGTATTCCTTTCTGCTCCCCATCTTTATATCTTTTAAACATCAGTGCTATCATATGTTTGAGCAAATAATTTTTTACAGTCACCATTTCATAAAAATCTAATTAGCAGTAATGTATTCATCCCTCAAACTCAGAAGTCTCTCTGAGGAATGAAGAAAAAAACCCCGGTTGGGAAACTGATCATACAAGTATGCTGAAGTTTGTCTTTTTACTCTGAGTATGTCTAGCTGTTCCCAAAGGCCAAGTTTTGAATTATTTGTGCCACTCACAAAAGTTGATGTCTACAATGTATTCTGCCTTCACTGCATTTTGGGGGGCTCTCATTCTTTTTTATATCTAAAAAGGGTCTGAGGGGCGCCTGGGTGGCTCAGTGGGTTAAAGCCTCTGCCTCCGGCTCAGGTCATGATACCAGGATCCTGGGATCGAGCCCCGCATGGGGCTCTCTGCTCAGCGGGGAGCTTGCTTCCTCCTCTCTCTCTGCCTGCCTCTCTGCCTACTTGTGATCTCTGTCTGTCAAATAAATAAATAAAATCTTTAAAGAAAATAAAATAAAAAGGGTCTGAAACTGCAAAATAAAGGCTATCATTTTATCCCTTCTTTGTCTAGTAGTAGTGGGTACAATTTCATTAGTGAAGGATCACGTGATCTGCTTCTGTTACAAACTTTTTCTTTTAAGCCTCTGTTCAAATATTTGCTAAGTACGTTTTGTTTGTCAATGGAAAAAACTCAACTTCACTGGCATCAGAGAACCGCTTTACATCTGCAAAATGGTAAGCCCTAAAACGGGTTCTGGAAGTTGAAGTCCTCAAACTACCAAGGAGGAGATTCGCTTGGGGGAAAGAAGGCGTGATTTAAGGGGGCGGACATAGTCCTTCCTCCTCTTGGGGGATAGGGGTAATGTAGTCCTCAACTAACAGTGGTGGGGGGCCTCAAGCGCTTGCTCCCCCTCGGGACTTCTGGGAAGTGTAGTTCCGGGGCGCCGTGTAGTCAGAGACACTTCCGCCCCGGAAAAGCAAGACCGCCACCATCTTTTCGGTCCGGAGGTGAGTCAGCCTTGCACCCTCACGCCCCCTCCGAGTGTTTTCCGCCTGAGCTTGGGACTAGTCGCTACCTAGCCGGCCGTTTTAGGATGGAGAAGTCGCGGCCGCCGGCGGAGGCTGAGCGACTGAGGGCAGAAGTTTGGATTCCCTCGGCTCTCCTCCCCCGCTTACCAAGCATCACTGCTACTTCTATCGGTACAATACCTGGCGACTTGTTCTCTGCGCTCTCCTTTCCTCCTCCGTCAAGTAGCGACAGAGAGTAACTCTCCGGTCGAGTTGTGATTCGCAGTAAACGAGACAATACGTGTCCAGAGCTTTGAAAGGGGGCGGCACAGGATAACGGGTTGGCCATTGATAACAGGAGTTCTGTGCCCATCTCCCTTCTGCCTGGAAGCCCCGGTGCAGGGAGCGGGGCCGGGGCTCTGGGAGCAATGGCGCGGCCCCGCTGCCAGCCTCCCGGACACCGAGCTCTTCCCGAGCTTTCCACCTGTCTCCTTCAGGAGCCCCGAGCCGCCCGCGCCCGCGCCCGGGGATGTCCGCTGCAGTTTATCCGCGGGGCAGTCGCCGTCGTGCCGTCCCACCGCGTCCTGCTCTTCGCCGCCGCTGACTTCGGAAAGGGGAGGAAGGACGGACTTCTGGGTGCGTACTAGAGAAAGTACTTTCTTTCCTTTCTTTCTTTCTTTCTTTCTTCCTTCCTTTTTTTTTTTTTTTTTAAGATTTTATTTATTTATTTTACAGAGACCACAGGTAGGCAGAAAGGCAGGCAGAGAGAGGGGAGGAAGGGAAGGAAGCAGGCTCGCTGCTGAGCAGAGAGCCCGATGCGGGGTTCGATCCGGAGACCCTGGGACCACGACCCGAGCCGAAGGCAGAGGTTTCAACCCACTGAGCCACCCAGGCGCCCCGCGAAAGTACTTTCTTTCTTTCTTTCTTTTTTTTTTTTTTTTAAGATTTTTTAAATTTATTTATTTGACAGACAGAGATCACAAGTAGACAGAGAGGCAGGCAGAGAGAGAGAGAGAGAGGGAAGCAGGCTCCCTGCTGAGCAGAGAGCCCGATGCGGGACTCGATCACCAGGACCCTGAGATCATGACCTGAGCCGAAGGCAGCGGCTTAACCCACTGAGCCACCCAGGCGCCCGCGAAAGTACTTTCTTGATGCGTCCTCTCAGTTTTCCGTGCATCGGGTTTCAGTCACTCGGTCAGTGACTTACTAGGGAAATGTTCCAGTATTTGCTGCATCCACCTGCGGGTATTCCATCTCCTTGTTAATATGTGTGAATGTGTAGGTGAGTTTTGCTTTTTGTTTTGTTTTGTTTTTGTTGTTTTTTTTAACCACACGCACGTGTATTTATTTTTGGAATTTACGATCTTCTACACTTCCTTTTTGCTCTTTCTTGTTTGCAGTTTGGTTTCCTTTTACTTGCTCTCAGCTGGTTTGGAATAAAAACGGTTGCTTGTCTCAGATACTAAATGTAGCCGATGTGTATTCTCATTCTGAGAAATACAGAAACGAAATCTGTACTTGATATTTGATGATGGCACCTCATCACCACCACCTTTTTTAAACTGGAGGTCAGGTTACCGGTATGTATTTTGTTACAACAACCCTCGAAATTGGTCCTATCGTTCTTGGGCTTTTTTTTTTTTTTTTTAAGATTTTTTTTTTTTTTCCTAATTCATTTGACAGAGATCACAAGTAGGCAGAGAGGCAGGCAGAGAGAGAGAAGGAAGCAGGCTCCCTGCTGAGCAGAGAGCCCAATGTGGGCTCTATCCCCGGACACTGGGATCATGACCTGAGCTGAATGCAGAGGCTTTAACCCACTGAGCCACCCAGGTGCGCAACCCGCCCCCCCCCCCCCCCCGCTTTTTTTAAATAACAAAAATGTTACCAGCATATTTACAAGTGTTTTCTTACCATTGCTTCTTTCCAGGTTCGTATACTTAATGATTATTCTTCATCTTTGTTCAGCCGAAATGCCTTTTTTTTCCTCCCTCATGTCAGTAGTCATTTGGTTGAACATAGAATTCAAGTTTGACGATTATTTCCATTCTTCCTTTTGGAGATAGCATTCAGTCCTTTGAGGTCTCCATTCTGTTTCCTTGATTCTGTCAATCAAATTGTCATTTTGTTAGGTAAACTGTATTTTCTTTCTGGGGGTTTTAAGGATTTTTATTGTTTTCAGTTCTTTTTATTTACTCACAGTTTTTAGTTCTTTACATTCCTGAGTTTCAGCATGATTTGTCTAGGATGTATTTATTTAAAAAAAAATTTATAGGTAGGGGAGGGGCAGAGGGAAAAGGAAAGAGAGAATCCCAAGGAGGCTCCATGCTCAGTGCAGACTTCAAAGAGGGGCTGGGTCTCGCAACCCTGAGATCATGACCTGAGCCAAAATCAAGAGTCTGACCCTTAACTGACTGAGCCACCCAGGCACCCCAGGAGTGTATTTATTTTTATTTATACTGTTCGGAATTGCTGTATATGAACTCAGCAATTATCTTTTGAAATAGGAGCTCTCTGTGCCATTTTTTCTGTTCTGTTTTCGTCATACTCCTCCCATTGAACAAATGTTGGAGCCTTTCACTCTATCTTCTGTGTCTTGATTTTTATTTTGCATCTTTCTTATACTTATGCACGTGGGATAAAAGGCATTTATCAATAAGCCTTTTTGACTTCACCAGGTAAATTGACTTGAAGTGATGCTTTTTAGAAAGCTAATACCAGTGTGGATAAAATGTTACTAGGTGGGCAACAAATTATAAGTAAGAAGAAATAAATTTATTTACTTATTTATTTATTTTTAGTTAGACAAGTAAGAATTTTTTTTTTTTTTAAGATTATGTTATTCATTTGACAGATCACAAGTAGGCAGAGAGAGAGAGGAGGAAGCAGGCTCCCTGCTGAGCAGAGAACCTAATGCGGGGCTCGATCCCAGGACCCTGGGATCATGACCTGAGCCGAAGGCAGAGGCTCTAACCCACTGAGCCACCCAGGCGCCCTGTAAGAAAAAATTTTAAGTGGGAATTAGGATTTTCAGAGAATAAAGGTGACTTTCATAGGAGAGCATTAGTGTATGAAGTCCAGATACCTTCCAGGTCTTTTTAGCTGTTGTTGGAAAAGACATGTGCAGTTAGAGTTTATGATGCAAAGTATCGTCTGCTTTTTTGCAGCTGCAAGAAAAAGGGCCTCCTGGTTCTTTGAATTTTCCATCTGCCCATTTAGTCTGTGGAACAACCTTCTGAGGTGAGTTAAGATACACAGCTCTTATCTTCCTAACGTTATATGGATGGTAAGAATCATTTCGAGGTTTTAAACCTAGGCCATTGACTTTAGAACCCATTTTTTTTTTAACCTACATGTTAACAGTACCCTTCATTTCCTACATCCTCAGGATGAGCCATTCTTATAGTAGAAATACTGCATTTGGTTGTCCCGGTTCACTGTCCAGTGGCCCCTGGCTGACAGACTTAGGGGTTGGGTCTGCTCCATGCTCTGCTCACGGTGCTGTATGTAGCCTTTGCAGCCTAGAAGTAGGAGAGCTGTCGTTTAATTTCTGCAGAGATCACCTGGGCTCTCTGGCCTGCATTTCATGGCTTCTTTGTCTTTCCCCAGTTATGTCTTCTCAGGACTCTGACCTTCCCCAGAAAGAGCAGGAAAAAATGACCAAGTTTCAGGTAAGGAATTCTTTTCTGTCTCCTTAGATGTGATTTCATTTCTCACAGATTAGGCTCATCTTTCTCCTCTTTGGAAAACTTAATGGAAAACCGCAGATTTTGAGTGCGTGTTGTATGCCAGGCTATGTGTGCGCATGCGTGTTTAGTTTTATCTTTATTGTTTCACAAGACAATTTTTGGAAAAATAATAAAAATTTGAAATAGACCAAAAGAATTTACAGTACTACCTTGCTCATTGGCCAACTCTTTGTAATTTACCTTATGCCTTTTTCACTTGCATTTGTAACTTTGTATTTGTAGTATTGGAAGTGATGGGATACATAGTTGATCCTCAAATAATGCAAGGGTTAGAGACCCTGACCTCCTTGAAAATCCACATGGAACTTTTGACTTCCCAGAAGCTTAGCTCTTACCTTACTGCTGATCAGAAGCCTTACCAATAGCATCAACAGTTGATTAACACATATTTTGTATGTTCTCTGTATCGTATATTGTATTTTACAGTAAAGTAAATGAGAAAAAGAAAATATTATCAGGAAAATTGTATGAGAGGATCCATTTTTAGTGCTGTAAAAAGATATGCATGTAAGGTGGACCCATGCGGTTCAAACACTTCTTGTTAAAGAGTCACCTGTACTTAGATACATTAGAGAAAGGCTTAATAACTCTTTTAGTAAGGTTAGTAAGATAAGGGGTGCCTGGGTAGCTCAGTGGGTTAAGCCTCTGCCTTCAGCTCAGGTCATAATCTCGGCGTCCTTGGATCGAGCCCCGCATTGGGCTCTCTGCTCAGCAGGGAGCCTGCTTCCTCCTCTCTCTCTGCCTGCCTCTCTGTCTACTTGTGATCTCTTTCTCTCTCTCTCTGTCAAATAAATAAATAAAAATCTTAAAAAAAAAAAAAGAAGATTAGTAAGATAAGAAAAAACCAAGTTGGAATAGGAGTGAAAAAAAATGGAGTGTCAAGGCAAATTTATGACAAAAGTAATGATCGTTAATAAGTAAATGTGTGCAAATGTTAACAAAAGCTTTCTAATTATTTATTTCACTTAGATTGTCCTATTTGGAAAGAGTCTAGAGATTCAGAAACACTTGTACTCTCTTGCATGAAAGGTGAATTGGGGAAACCTTCTGGGAGGGAAATCTGCCACTGTGCTTGGAAAATTTTGAAAGTGTTTATTCTGTGGCTTTGCAGTTGCTACTTTTAGCTAAGGTCTCAGTAAAAGGATCTCTGCAGCACTGATTAAAATTAAAAATCTGGGGCAATCTGGGTGACTCAGTTGGTTAACCAACTGCCTTCGGCTCAGGTCATGATCCCAGGGTCCTGGGATAGAGCCCCGAATCGGGCTCCCTGCTCTGCGGGGAGTTTGGTTCTCCCATTCCCTCTCTTTCTCCTTTTCCCCCTGCTTGTGCATTCTCTTCTCTCTCTCTCTCTTTCTCTTGCTGTCTCTCAAATAAATAAAATCTGAAAAAAAAAAAAATTGAAGATCTGTAACTATATGTGATTTGGATGATGGAAGATATATCATCAGTTCTAAGGGAAGTTAAACTCTGTGGTCATAAAATGGAATGAGACACTATGACGATGGTAATTGTTCAGGTTTATTGAGCAGTTAGCTACATGCTAGGCACCATTCTACGTGCTTTACAAATACTCATCTAATGTTTTCAAACAATTTGTGATACAGACATCATTAAAGAGAAGTGGAAATGGAGATAGTGGGAAGTTAAGGAATTTCCCCAAGGCCCTAGAATTAAAACTGTGAAATTTGAGCTTAGTGCTTTCACCAGCTGTGAATGCTGCAGGTAGATGCAGCACGTACGTTGAAAACACGGAAGAGCTGTGTGCTTGTCCCGGGAGGGCTGCCCAAGGCCTGTGCACACTGCTGACATTACGAACAGCGACAGAACCCAAGCCTTGTGGGGTGCTCGGGAGGGGACAGTGAGGGGGGACACTCTGGGACTAAAATCTGCCTAGGCACCCTCCAAAGTGGCAACCGTTTTTTGGGTAATCCTCTATCCTCCTCCGTGTTGCCCCTTTTCCAGTGGAGCTTGTGGGATTGAGGTTGTGTGCGTTTGATGTGTAGGAGGCGGTGACGTTCAAGGACGTGGCGGTGGTCTTCACCGTGGAGGAGCTGGGGCTGCTGGATTCCACCCAGAGGAAGCTGTACCGAGATGTGATGTTGGAGAATTTCAAGAACCTAGTCTCAGTGGGTGAGGACAGTCGCCCCATGACACCCCCTTGAGAGTCAGTGTCTTTAGTTGTTCAAAGCTTTGGATTTTTTGAATTAATTCCCTGACCCTGAAGACTCAGGTTTTTCTAATCCCTAGGACTACAGGCATAGGTTTTCCTCGTTTTTCTGCTCAGGTAAAATTCTGTCCAGGGGTTATTTTGCCCCGCGGTGACATTTGGCAATGTCTGGAGACAGGTTTGATTGTTACAATTGGTCGGGGGAGGGGCTCCACTGGCCACCGATGTTGCTAAACCTCCTGTAGTGCACAGTTCAACCTCCAGGACAAAGAATTAGCCAGTCCAGAATGTCAGCGGTGCCCCAGTTGAGAAACCCTGATTCAGTTAATTACAAATGGAAACATAAATATAAATTGGCTTTTACACTGTGTCTTGCAAATACCTTTTCAAATTGTGGTTGTGACCCATTGGTGGGTCATGGCATTAATTTAGTACCCTGTGCTGGCATTTTTTTTTTTTTTCAATAAAATAGAATAAGGATAGAAACTAGAAGAATTCCTCACATTGCAGCAGAAACTGACCATTTGCGATGAGTGGTGTGAGAGTGTCGGAAGTATGGTGAGAACAGACATTGGCTGAATCTAATTTTATCTCTATCGAGACATGAACTAGGTCATGCCTAAGTTTACCTATTACAGTTCATGATCAGAAGAGTTCCAAAAATACCACTTTAAAGGTTCTGAGGGTTGTAGAACTTGGACAGAAATACATTTTAGCCATGTGTGTATCTTAGAAGTGTGTATCTGCCCTCTCACAGGACATCTTCCCTTCAAGCCAGAGATGGTTTCTCAGTTGGAAGCAGAAGAAGAGCTTTGGATGATGGAAGGGGAAGCCCAAAGAAGTGTGACCAGTGAGGACCCCATGGCTCTTCCTTCAGGTACCAGCTAATCTGTGTCTCACCACATCTGTGCTTACCACACTTGTCTGAGCTCTGGGACAGCAGCCTCCACGTTGGTCTCCCTGCCTTCTCTCTTGCCCTCCTGTCATCTGTTCTCCATATGGTGCCAGAGTGATTCCTTAGAAAGTAAGTGAGGTCATGCCATTCCCCTGCTGAAAAACCCTCCAAAGACTTCCCGTTTCACTCAGAGCCCTCGCAGTGGCCTACAAGACCCTCCCCGATCTGGATTCCTCATCAGGTTCTTTTTTGATCAGCCTTGCTTTTAGCCTGGCTTAGGTCATTCCTGGCTCCTCTGGGGCATTCTCTCTGCTGCTTCCGGGCCTTGGACCAGCTTCCCCTCTGCCTGGGCCGAGAGTCTGCGGCCACTTCCTTACTAGGGTTTTTGCTCGGATTTCATCTGCATCTGCTGGGCCTTCTGTGTCTGCCCTTTCAAACCTCATCCTCATCCATCCCCTCACCCTGCCTTATTTAGTATCTGAGTACTGATCACCTCCTGACCTACCAACACATTTTTGTTTACTTGCTCACCATCTGTCTCCCCTTGAAGTAGGAGTTTTGGCAGTTTCATTTGTTGTGTCTACTCAAGGATGGCCTTTCTGCATAGGAGGTGATCCTCTGCACTTGTTAAATGATTAAATTATTTAAATAGTCACAGTCCTTGTAGGAGTGACCTATGATACCAGTCTTTCCTGGACGGGAAAGAATGCCTGGTTCGTGTCCCCAGCCGCCGATTTCTTTTCCACCAAGCCTTTCACTGCCTACCACCCCCCCACTTTCTCCTGCCCTGTCCCTCTTCATTTTTCACCTCACTTTTCCATCTCCATATATTCCTCAGTTCTACTCATTCAGAAATTAAAAACTCAATATCCCCAGGGGTGCCTGGGTGGCTCAGTGGGTTAAGTCTCTGCCTTCGGCTCAGGTCATGATCTTGGGGTTTTGGGATCGAGCCCCGCATCAGGCTCTCTGCTCAGTGGGGAGCCTGCTTCCCCCTCTCTCCCTCTGCCTGCCTCTCTGCCTACTTGTGATTTCTGTCTGTCAAATAAATAAAATCTTAAAAAAAAAATAAAACTCAGTATTCTCAGAGCAAGTAATCATTTGCTCTCCCTCTGCCTGAAAAATGAAACAGAGAAGCCTGTCTGCAAATGTGTTAAATTAGGTGACAAATTCTGTGGGTAATTTATGGATGTACTCTCTGATAGGGACCCTTGTAACTATTTTGGGCCCATCCACGTAATACAAGATAACTTCCCCATTGCAGGATTCTTTTTTCTTTTCTTTTGAGAGAGTGCGCACATGCAAGCAGAAGAGGGGAGGGGTGGGGGAGGGGCAAAGGGAGAGGGCGGGAGAATCTTAAGCAGGCTCCATGTTGAGCCTGCTGTGGGGCTTGATCCTACAACCCTGAGATCATGACCTGTGGCAAAATCAAGAGTTCATTACTTAACTGACTGAGCCACCCAGGCGCCCCCCACCCCATCTCAGAATCCTTAATTTTAATGAAATCTAAAGTCCCTTTTGTCACGTACATGAACATATTCACAGGTTCCAGGGATTAGGGCATGGACATCTTTAGGGGCCATTTGATTGGCCTACCATACCTAGAAATGTGTACATATGTGTTGAGACTTTTTTAGTTTATATTATTAGAATGTAACTTTACGTTTAAGCAAATTAATTATTGAGGACTTGGTACCGCCGCTCCCCCCATCCCAAACATTTTAAGCCGGTGCTTCCATTCATTTTTAGCCACAATCCTCAGTCATATATTTTACATCTTGACCTAGCATGGGTGTAACATATGTACGTATTTATGTGTGTGTTTGTAGCTGAAACAAGCGTTTCGTATAGTGTTATCCTTACCGTTTGTGTTACGCTTCTCATATTCTATTTTTCTTTTTAACTATTTGTTCATTTATGGAATTGGTTTCATAGTTCATTAATGCATCCCAACAATTCGAAAAATTCTACGAGAGTGGAGATAACGTAACGAAGAAAACAAAACGCATGTTTTCTTCATAACTGTTATACTCTAGTGGGTCTAAAAAGACAAGAAAAAGTTAGGAAGTATACAGTTAAGTCAAATAATACGTGCTGTAGGGGAAATAAAGCAGCGTCAGCCAAAGGCGGAGAATCAAAGGTGTTATGGGAGTGGGAAGGAATTATTTTATATTGGGTGATGAGGAAGGCCTTACCCAACTGAGCACCATTTGTGTGAGGACCTACAGGGAATGAATAAAAAAACGAGGCCTTGCGACCTTCTGGGAGAGTTTAGCTCCCCTCTTCCTCTTCAGGGCGGCCTTTGCAAGTGCACTGTGCTTTGCTGCTTTCTTTCTCCCAGGGTCTTTCTCTGTCGTACAAGATTAGTTTTCCCTTTGCCGTTTCTTTCTAGAGCCCTGAATTACTACTATGAATGTTAGTATTCCAACCACTTCCCAAATTTACTCTTGGAAGAGAATTCCTGCCAGGACCTAAATTACTAATTTCTCCCATCCAAGTACTAAATAGGCCCAACCCTGCTTAGCTTCTGAGATCAGACGAGACTAGGTGCGTTCAGGGTGGTCTGGCCGTATCTGCCTACGATTTGAGCTTTTGTAACTTAACCAGGTAGAATCCCTCTTGTGATAAGCCTACTGAGGAAAAGGTGAGGAGAATTTTTTTGTTTTTTTTGGAATGATTTCCCTTTATTGTTAAAGGTTTTACAAATTGTGTTCTGCTTATAAAATTACACAAACTGATTGTGGAAAGATTAGAAAAGGACAAAAAAGTACAAAAACACATTCATTGTTTTCTTTCAAAGATAACCACTGTTAAATTTGGAAATGTATCCCTATCGCTATCACTATCTCTCTCTATAAAACTTTGTATATTTTTTTTATTAAATTTATTTTTTTTAATAAACGTGTAATGTATTTTTATCCCCAGGGGTACAGGTCTGTGAATCACCAGGTTCACACATTTCACAGCACTCATCATAGCACATACCTTCCCCAATGTACATATCCCCACCACCCTCTCCCGTCCCTCCACCCCCCAGCAACCCTCAGTCTGTTTTTTGAGATTGAGTCTTTTATGGTTTGTCTCCCTCCCAATTCCACCTTCTTTCCTTTTTTCTTTTCCTACCCCCTAACTCCCCCCCACATTGCATCTCCACTTCTTCATATCAGGGAGATCATATCATAGTTGTCTTTTTCCGATTGACTTATCTCGCTAAGCATAATACCCTCTAGTTCCATCCATGTCGTCGCAAATGGCAAGATTTCATTTCTTTTGATGGCTGCATAGTATTCCATTGTGTATATATACCACATCTTCTTTATCCATTCATCTGTTGATGGACGTCTAGGTTCTTTCCATAGTTTGGCTATTGTGGACATTGCTGCTATAAACATTCAGGTGCACGTGCCCCTTCGGAGCACCATGTTTGTATCTTTAGGATATATACCCAGTAGTGCAATCGCTGGGTCATAGGGTAGCTCTATTTTCAGTTTTTTGAGGAACCTCCACACGGTTTTCCAGAGTGGTTGCACCAGTTTGCATTCCCACCAACAGTGCAGGAGGGTTCCCCTCTCTCCGCATCCTTGCCAGCATCTGTCATTTCTTGACTTGATAATTTTAGCCATTCTGATGGGTGTGAGGTGATATCTCATTGTGGTTTTGATTTGTATTTCCCTGATGCCGAGTAATGTGGAGCATTTTTTCATGTGTCTGTTGGCCATCTGGATGTCTTCTTTGCAGAAATGTCTGTTCATGTCCTCTGCCCATTTCTTGATTGGATTATTTGTTCTCTAGGTGTTGAGTTTGCTAAGCTCTTTATAGATTTTGGATACTATCCCTTTGTCTGATATGTCGTTTGCAAATATCTTCTAGGTGAGGAGAATTTTAATTGACATTATTATAGGATGGAGTATGGATTGCCTCTGTGGCCTGCAGCCATTTGATTTCAAATTTATAGCTCTCATACTAAATTATGAAATTTATGGTCTGAATGGATTGCATTTATGCTTAGTGGATAAGTCTGTTGACCCCATTCTTTGCTTCCACTTGCATGGAAAAACATAAAAGGATAAATGATGTTGTACAAACATGACCCTCCCCCTGGTTTATTGAGGCCTTATCACATGGCCTAGATGTGGAATCCTGCCATTTCTCTACCAAAGCATTTGCTTGTCCTCATCTCTGAATATTGCTTTTTCTTACAGGCAGCAAGAATCAAAATGAGATGGAGGCCCTTCAAAAAGTTGCAATGAAATACCTTTCCCATGAAGAACTATCCTGCTGGCAAATCTGGAGACAGGTTGCAAGTGATTTAACCAGGTGTCTTCAGAGAAAGCGTTCCCAGTTACCACATGGTGATTCCATTCAGGTTTCCGAACATGAAAATAGTGTCGTGAATCATAAAGGAAATGGCTCTACTTGCACGGCCAATCAAGAGTTGTCAGTTTCAAGAACCCAAGACACCTGTGGGAACACATCCCTGCGTGAGTCACAGAATCAGAGCGGAGGTCCGCAAGTTCATGGGAAAAATAACCAGCATATGTGTGAAGCCTTCATGAAGAGATCGCCCGTCAGTGATCATAGTAACCCTGACACAGAACAGAAACCTTATAAGTTCAACACATGTGGCAAAAGCACGAGTGACGGCTTCATTCCTCACGTAGCCCCAGGAGAGGAATTCCATCCATGTCGTGAGTGCGGAAAGGGCGTCGGGTATAGCTCGGCGCTTCCACGTCATCAGAACGTTCGCACAAGAGAGAAATGCTCTAGTCAGAGCTCACATCTGCAGATCCATCAGAGAATTCACCCAAGAGAGAAACTCAACAAATGTCGTGGATCTGAGGCTTGCTTTAGTAAGAGCTCTTTTCATCAGCTTAACCACATGGGGGAGAAGGCCTATAGATGTGACAGTTGTGGCAAGGGATTCAGCAGCAGCACAGGCCTTATCATTCATTACAGGACTCACACTGGAGAGAAACCTTATAAATGTGAGGAGTGTGGGAAATGCTTTAGTCAGAGTTCAAACTTTCAGTGCCACCAGAGAGTCCACACTGAAGAAAAACCATATAAATGTGAAGAGTGTGGTAAGGGCTTCGGTTGGAGTGTCAATCTTCGCGTTCATCAGAGGGTCCACAGGGGTGAGAAACCCTATAAGTGTGAGGAGTGTGGGAAAGGCTTCACTCAGGCCGCACACTACCACATACATCAGAGGGTCCACACTGGGGAGAAGCCTTACAAATGCGACGTCTGTGGTAAGGGCTTCAGCCACAATTCACCATTAATATGCCATCGGAGAGTCCACACTGGAGAGAAACCGTACAAATGTGAGGCGTGTGGGAAAGGCTTTACCCGCAATACAGATCTTCACATCCACTTCCGAGTTCACACGGGAGAGAAACCCTACAAGTGTAAGGAGTGTGGGAAGGGCTTCAGTCAGGCTTCTAATCTTCAGGTCCATCAGAATGTCCACACGGGGGAGAAACGATTCAAATGTGAAATATGCGGGAAGGGCTTCAGTCAGTCATCAAAGCTTCAGACCCATCAGAGAGTCCACACTGGAGAGAAGCCATACAGATGTGATGTGTGTGGTAAGGACTTCAGTTACAGTTCCAATCTGAAACTGCACCAAGTGATTCACACTGGAGAAAAACCATATAAATGTGAGGAGTGCGGGAAGGGCTTCAGTTGGCGATCAAATCTTCATGCTCATCAGAGAGTCCACTCTGGAGAGAAACCCTATAAATGTGAGGAGTGTGATAAGAGCTTTAGTCAGGCTATAGATTTTCGGGTACATCAGAGAGTCCATACTGGAGAGAAACCCTACAAATGTGGTGTATGTGGTAAGGGCTTCAGTCAGTCCTCTGGTCTTCAGTCCCATCAGAGAGTCCACACTGGGGAGAAGCCATACAAGTGTGACGTCTGTGGAAAGGGTTTTAGGTACAGTTCGCAGTTTATATACCATCAAAGAGGCCACACTGGAGAAAAACCTTATAAGTGTGAGGAGTGTGGGAAAGGCTTCGGAAGGAGCTTGAACCTTCGCCATCATCAGAGGGTCCACACAGGAGAGAAACCCCATAGGTGTGAGGAGTGTGGTAAGGCCTTCAGTCTCCCCTCAAATCTTAGGGTCCATTTGAGTGTCCACATTAGGGAAAAACTGTTTAAATGTGAGGAGTGTGGTAAGGGCTTCAGTCAGAGTTCACGTCTTCAGGCCCATCAGAGAGTCCACACTGGAGAAAAACCATACAAATGTGACGTCTGTGGTAAGGACTTCAGTCACCGTTCACGTCTCATGTACCATCAGAAAGTCCACGCTGGCAGAAATCGTTAAAAGTGAAGACTGTGTTAATGGCTTTGGTCAGGATGCATATTGTGTGTTTGGAGAGTCTGTGCTGGTAATAATTAAGCATTGAGAGTGGAAAGGGATTTCTTCAGAAAGAATCTTTCTAACAAATCCACTAAAATGATGACATGGGACCATAATAATAGGAATAGAACTAATATTCAGGGCAGGAATGGCTTGCAGCTCTCTTGGCAAGATCCAAGTGATATAAATGGTCTTTAAGAGTGAATATTTGCCAAAAAAAAAAAAAAAAGTGAATATATGCCTAAGAATAAGGCGTGAAAAGGATATTTGCCATATACTAGCTAGTTTGGGGGGGGTCAGGAAAGTTTTTAAGATAATTTCCCCTTTAACTTACATTTTATACTTATTTACAGTGACTTATTTTTACGGAAGCTGTAAAGCTATGAAAAATGAATAAAATTACTGACTAAAATTTCCTGTAACCAAGAACTCATAATATGATTGCTCTATTTCCTATGGTATATTGGATTAGAATTAAGGAATAGGTCCCCAGTGATGTATCTTCGATCTTCAGCAGTAAATTCATATCTGCTGCAGGTGTATGTAAAAGAATGGTCATTGTGTCATTGTTTATAATAGCAAACATAGAAACCATCAAATGGATTGCCAAAGTATTTTATGATTTATTAATCCAGTGGAACACTATGTAACATCAAACAGGAAAAGGTAAATTTGTAATTAAGTATGTTGGAAGATGTCCAGCATATATTAACCTGAAAAAATAAAGCATGGGATTTTTGTGTGATCTCGTTAAAAAAAAAAAAAAGTGTAGATAAAAAGATACTTAGTTCTAACTACTTATTGCTAAATGATGAGATTTTGCTTCATACTTATTTTTACATTTCTTTAAACTTACTGTTTTGAAATAATCTCAAACTTTACAAAAAATGTGAGGCTTTATCTCACAACCCTGAGATTACGACCTGAACCAAAATCAAGAGTGGGACACCTAGGTGCCCTTCTACCACCAATTCTGAATTGAACATTATAGTGTTCTTTCTAGCCTCCCCCCATTACAAACTGCATCTTTGTTCTCCAAGAATAAAAAACATTTGGCTCCAGTATCATCCACATATTCACTTGAGAGTGTAAACATGCACCTGACTACAACTTAGGGGTTCTATTCATGGAAAAAGAATGGGGTATTGGGTAACTAGTGCCAGAGGTGATTTGAATGGCCATAGTGTTTGCACCATAACTTTTCCCTTTCTTAGAGCATTGACTCTAAACCAAGTAAAATCTCATAGGACCATGAAGAAAAGTAAAAGAAAAATCCAAAGATGGGCATATCCCAGTGAGAACGCACCGGATAGTGATTCCTTGCTAATGCTAGTGGGCTAATGTGAAGGAATGGTTCCTTGTGCAGGGCCAGTCGGGGAGCACATCCCGCCATTGGCCAGCCCTGCATTACATCATCGGCGGTTCACCTCCCATTTTCCTTATAATACTTCTCAGAGTGAGTGTGACAATTCTCAGGCCACCAAGGGTCACAGTGCTCCACTGCTTCTTGAGAGAATTAAAAGTATTCTAGGAGAAACTAAAGTTAAAAAGACCAAACTGGAATATTGTTTACAAAACAGTTTATTGTAATTAAAAAGCAGGCTCCGGAACTAGACTTCGGTTCAGCCATTTGAGAGTTGAATAACTGCAAATAAGATGCCTAACCTCTCTATTCTTCAATTTACTTGTGTGTTCAGTGTGGATGATAATATCTTTTCTGTTGTGAGGGTGGAAACTTGATGCCTGGCATATAGTAAGAGCTGTACAGTATTAACTATTATCTTCAATAGATAAAATTATTACTGTATGTGTTGTTATAAAATTCTAAGCCAGGGAACAGTTGTTGGCCAAGTACAGCCTCTGTCTTATTTTTGTATGACTGAGAGCTGGAATTGCACACTTGTAAAGAATTTTAGGGAGGAAAAAAAACTAAGGAGAAAGCAAAGAATATGCTACAGATAATGTATATGGACTGCAAACCCTAAAATATTATTTTCTGGCCCTTAAAAAAAAAAAAGATTTATTTATTTATTTTAGAGAGTGAGAGTGCACACCGGGTGGGGAGAGGAGTTGCAAAGGGAGAGGGAGAGATAGTCCAAAGTGGACTCTGCACTGAGTGTAGAACCTGAGCTAGGCTTGATTTCCAGACCCTGAGGTCACGACCTGGGGAAAATACCAAGAGTCAGATGCTTAACCCACTGTACCACCCAGGCGCCCTATAAAAAAAATTTTTTTAAAGAAGGAAAGAAGGAAAAGAAACAAAACAAATGCTAATATCACCAGAGAACACACTGAACTGCGACAGTTGGTACATTGAAGGGGGCAAAAAGTGGCAGCCTAGAGTTAAGCGCCAACTTGCTGAGGATTCTGGGAAATGTAGTCGGCCTGCGCCCGAAAGTCAGAGCCGCTTCCGTTCCCGCGGGGAGGCGCTGTAAGCCCTTGTTCCGCTGGGGCTTCTGGGAAGGCTGGTCCCCGAGCTGCGACAGCTCCACGCATTTGCGCTGTGGGAGTGCGAAGCCGGGGTCCTTGGAAACCTTCTGGGACGTGAGTTAGCGCTGAGCCCCTGCGTCTCTGGCCAGCTCGCCTAGGCGTGGGACCCGCAGGTGCCGCCCCTCGCTCTCAGGGATTAGAAGCCGCGGGGGCGGGCGTCATCTTGATTTTAGGGCGGGTCGCGCGTCCCAGAGTGGGGGCGGGCGGGGGTCGCGACCGCCGTTTCCCTGGCCTTCCCCACCTCTGCATGCTCTGCCGCCTTCTAGCGACACGTTCGTAGATTTGCTTAGTTTCTCCGTTTTTCCTTCGTTGAGTGGGATTAAGGGTCGTTCCTCCATCGGGACTGTGTAGTGAGGTTTACGAGAGTTAAATAGATGGGAAGATGCTTGGAAGCGGTCCCGGCGCGAGAACGGTGGCCGGTTGTCGCCAATCTGCGATTTCTGGGCGAGAAGCGCTCAGTCCCTGAAAACAGTGAGCGCTGCGGGAAGCAGGGCTGTTTAGGATTTCTCAAGACTCCCCACGACCGCACCCCTCCTTTTTTAAAGGAAAGATTGGTCTCACCCCAGTTGGCGCCTGCGATTGTCCACCGTGATTTATTATGGACCGGTGGGTGACCTGATGGGAAGGCAGATGCTTAACCGTCTGAGCCACCCAGGCGCTCTGCTGATCCATTTTTGCTCTCAAGAAGGGAACAGACTTTCTTCACTCCTAAGCAGATATTTTTCTACGGTGCACATGTCCAGATGTTTATAGAATAAATAGGAGATTGGATGAGACATGTGTTGATGAGTAAGTAATAACAATTTGGTAACGTGCTGAGTGCTGGATCGTCCTCTACAGGCTTTATATGGGTTGGTTACCTTAATCTTCCCAACACACAAAGTTACTGTGATTATCTGTATTTTACAGATGACAGCGTTGATAGTTGAAGAACTTTTTTTTTTAATTTCTCCAAAGGCCAACAATGGGGAAGAGACAGAACTGGGAATTTGAGCGCAGGCAATCTGGATTCTTGACCTTTATGCTATATGCTTTTTCAGCCCTAAAATGGTAATCCTGGGGCTTCCAGATTGGGTGGGGGCCGGCAGCCCAGGGGTGAAAGAATTCATCTAAGGCAGAACAGAGAAGATAGAAGTTTATCGAATATACTGCAAGGGAGGAGCAGGCAGGACAGCAAAGGAGAGACTGTTTGCCCCTGGGCAGTGGTGAGGGGTCCCTGGTACAGGGCCGAATGGGGAAGTATGGGGATGTGTGGAATTTTCCCTTTTCTGGTAATCTTAGGAACTGTGCCTGGTTGTAAGTAGCCCACTGGTTAGTTAGGGACTATGGCTGTTTTGAGGCGGGTCACTTAATGAGTCTGTTTGCATTATTAGCTCAGTGGTCACTGTAGGTCTGTCTTGCTCAAGGTTGCGTTGGTCAAGTCTGTCACCAAAATGTGGCCTCTGCAGTAATCCATACATGGACTGAAGGAGAGAGACCATTTGGTAATAATTTGGGACCTTAGAGGACCTGAAAGCTATGCTTATTTAATTACTTTATTTTCTATGACACTGTTTGTTTTCTGATTATGATAGTTTGTGCTTATCACAGAGAGGTTGAGAAATAGAGAAAGCCAAATATGATCCCTTATCCCAGGATGTAGAGACAGCTGTAAACCTGTTAGTATGTTTCTTTTTAGTTGTTTCTCTGTATTTGCACTTTTCTATGCTTCTCAGAAGTTGTATCAGACTTGTAGTGCTTCTGTATTTCCTAACTTGTGATTATGAACACTTTCTTTCTTTCTTTCTTTCTTTTTTTTGTTGTTGTTGTGTCATGTTAGTCACCATACAGTACATCATGAGTCATTGTTTGTGTATAACACGCAGTGCTCCCTGCAGTACGTGCCCTCCTTAATAGCCATCATCGGGCTCACTCATTCCCCCACTCCCCTTCCCTCTGAAACCCTCAGTTTGATTCCCAGAGTCCATAGTCTGTCATGGTTTGTCTCCCATTCTGATTTCTCCCCCTTCATTTTTCCCTTCCTTCTCCTAATGTCCTCCATGTTATTCCTTATGTTCCACAAATAAGTGAAACCATATGATAATTGACTCTCTCTGCTTGACTTATTTCACTCAGCACAATCTCCTCCAGTCCCATCCATGTTGATGCAAAAGGTGGGTGTTCATCCTTTCTGATGGCTGCATAATACTCCATTGTGTATGGACCACATCTTCTTTATCCATTTGTCTGTTGAAGCTCATCTCGGCTCCTTCCACAGTTTGGCTATTGTGGCCATTGCTGCTATGAACATTGGGGTGCATATGGCTTTTCTTTTCACTACATGTGTATCTTTGGGGTAAATACCCAGTAGTGCAATTGCTGGGTCATAGGGTAGCTCTGTTTTTAATCTTGTGAGGAACCTGTTTTCCAAAGTCGCTGCACCAACTTGCATTCCCACCAACAGTGTAAGAGGATTCCCCTTTTTCCACATCCTCTCCAACATTTGTTGTTTCTTGCCTTGTCGATTTTTGCCATTCTAACTGGTATAAGGTGGTATCTCAATGTGTTTTTTTTTTAATTTCTTTTTAGTGTTCCAGAATTCATTGTTCATGTACCACACCCAGTGCTCCATGCAATACATGCCCTCCATAATACCCACCACAGGCTCACCCAACTTCCTCCCCTCCTCCCCTCCAAAATCAGTTTGTTTCTCAGAGTCCAGAGTCTCTCATGGTTCGTCCCCCACTCCAATCTCCCCCAACTCAGTCTCTTCAGTAAATGCTGCTGGGAAAATTGGACAGCTATGTGTAGAAGAATGAAACTCGACTATTCTCTTACACCATACACAAAGATAAACTCGAAATGGATAAAAGACCTCAGCATGAGACAAGAATCCATCAGAATCCTGGAGGAGAACATAGGCAATAACTTCTTCAACATCGGCCACAGCAACTTCTTTCAAGACGTGTCTCCAAAGGCAAAGGAAACAAAAGTGAAAATGAACTTTTGGTACTTCATCAAGCTCAAAAGCTTCTGCACAGCAAAGGAAACAGTCAACAGAACAAAGAGCCAACCCACGGAATGGAAGAAGATATTTGCAAATGACACTACAGACAAAGGGCTGATATCCAAGATCTATAAAGAACTCCTCAAACAAAATGTGGTTTGTTTGTTTTTTTAAGATTTTATTTATTTATCTGACAGAGAGAGATCACAAGTAGATAGAGAGGGAGGCAGAGAGAGAGAGGGAAGCAGGCTCCCTGCTGAGCAGAGAGCCCGATGCGGGACTCGATCCCAGGACCCTGAGATCATGACCTGAGCCGAAGGCAGCGGCCTAACCCACTGAGCCACCCAGGCACCCTCAAAATGTGATTTTGATTTGACTCTCCCTGATGGCTAATGATGATGAACTTTTTTTCGTGTGTCTGTTAGCCATTTGTATGTCTTCTTTGGAGAAGTGACTGTTCATGTCTTCTGTGCATTTTTTGACTTGATTATTTGTTTTTTGTGTGTGTTGAATTTGAGAAGTTCTTTACAGATCTTGGATATCAGCCCTTTGTCTGACATAGACAATGTACTGTAATGAAGTCTCATATTCGTCAACCTTGGTCAACCTTCAACTGTTCTAAGTTTTGTGCATCTTGCTATATAATCCCCTCCCATTTTTTTTTTGCTTGAATATTTTAATGCAAAAAAAAATCCAAACATTGAGGCAAGAGGATTTATACTAGATTATCATAAATATATGGAGGTCAAGGGAGAGAGGACATAAACGATTCCAAAGTCTTTACGTGGTGATTAGGAAAATGGTGGTTATTGAGAAAGCCAGGGGCCCCATAAGAGTTGCAGTTAAAGAGGGGCGCTTCGGTGGCTTCATTGGTTAAGCATCCAGTTCTTGATTTCAGCCCAGATCATGATCTCAGGGTCATGAGATTGAGCCCTGCGTCAGGCTCCGAGCTTGTTGTGGGGTCTGCTTGGGATTCTCTCTCTCCCATCCCTCTCATGTGTGTTCTCTTTCTCTCTGTCTCTCTCTAAAATAAATAAATAAACCCTTTTTAAAAAGAGTTGCCATGAAAGAAAACAGTGTGACAAATTTAGTTTGTGCCTTTGGAATTTAATTTGCTCTTGGTTTCCTGAAGACAGATTAAGTCCCCAAACAGTAACAAGGATCCATATAGAGATTTCTTTTTGTCCTTTATCTCACTCTGTGGCTATATACAGAAGCTCCAGCTTTTTCAGAGTATTCAGAAGTTGATAGCCATTTACTGATAATACTTCCATGTCCTAAAACAAACTTACTTAGGAACAGAGCAGGACTAATGCATCGTTTCTCCGTTTATCACTGTGTTGTAATAATGGAGATGGTGAAAACATAACTAGTATTTATTGGGAACTTTTTATGAGTCAGGCAGAGTTTCCAGTGTTTTTTGTGTATTAGCTCATTTATTCCTCAAAAGAACACTATTGTTATCTCCATGTTACAGATGAGATACAAGAAGATAAGTGGTCTCCAGAAGATCACTCAGCCAGTAACTTGAGCACTGAACTAAAACCATCAGGTCTTAACATAGCCCCTCCCCACCATGTTTTTTTTAACAGTATCCATTACCAGCTGACACCTGATATGCTTATCTGTTGGTTGGTAAATTATCTACCTTCTCAACTATGGTATCAGCTTCATGAGAGCGGGGACTCTGTTCACTGCTATATCTTTACTATATGGAATTGTGCCTGGCACACAGTGGATGCTCAATGAGTACTTGTTGAATGTATGAATGAACGTGCTTGGTGAGTAGTAATGAGGCTCTCAGCTAGCAGCTTACCTTCTAAAAAGGTGGATAGATACAAGCAAGATAAATAACTAAAAGATACATTAATATGTTAGAGAGTGCTGATGCTGAGTATCAAAGGGGCATGATTGGGAGGAGAAGGGAAGTGGTCGGGGGGGGGGGGGTTCAGTTAAATAAAGATGTCCGTGGAATATCATTTAAGTAAAGAACTGATGGTGCTATATAAACAAATAAATAAATAAGTTAACTTTAAACATTAAATAAATACCTAAGTAGGGTTTGCTTTATCCAGAGCCCATGATTGACCCTTTTATGATTATTTTACTTTTATTTTATTTTTTTAAGATTTTATTTATTTATTTGACAGATCACAGGCAGTGAGGCAGGCAGAGAGAGAGGGTGAAGCAGGCTCCCTGCTGAGCAGAGAGCCCGATGTGGGGCTCAATCCCAGGAGCCTGGGATCATGACCTGAGCCGAAGGCAGAGGCTTAACCCACTGAGTCACCCAGGTGTCCCGATTATTTTACTTTTAAGGATGACTGTTATGTTGCTTGAACCAAGCAAATAAAAAAGGAAACCCAGAGGAAGAAATGGAGCATTTGGAAGATAGAGTTCATCCTCTCCTTCACCCCATTAAGAACAGCCTCAGAATCTTAAACAGTTCTGAGCGAAGGAGATTGGGGAGTCCATTCGTTGCCCCACGGAGTGTCTTCTCAGTCAGCTTTTGATTCTTTGTGTTTTGAGTCCTCAGTATATCCTAGGTGCTGGGGAGAAAAAGGTGTGTTAACATCTCTTAGGCAAAACAGATGCTTAACCACTAATTATCCCCTCAGTGGCCCCCAGGTGATGGAAGGCTTCTTGGAGTCCAGAAGTGGAGAGCTGAGCCAGGGACCCCAGACCTCACGCCCTTTCACCCACTAAACGCTGTGAAATGTCAGGTCTCCTTGCAAAGCTGTAACTGAGCAGAGCAGAAGGGGAAGCAGAGAGAGGGCCCAGGACGAGGGAATTGGTGTCACAAACTGAGATTTCTTCCTGGCTTTGAGAGAAGTGGATACGTTGCTCTCATCTCTATTAGAATACTTCTGTCTGAAGTAGGAGGAACCATGAACATGAGTGGCTGTCACCTGTTGGATGCTTATGTGTATTGTGTTCACAGAAACCTCCTACAACACTAGGTGCTAGATACTGTTATGATCCCATCTTACAGATTTGGAAATAGGGCACGAAGAGCTAGGAAGTCAGAAGAGTCCATGGTAGAATCCTGATGGACTGGCTCCAGTATCTCCCAGCAGATCACTTCCAGCAGATCTGTGCCCTCGGGCTCCCCTCTCTCTCATCCTTTCCTACGTCCTCTTCATGTTTGTGGTTAGGAACACGGAGACCAGATAAAAACACAAGCTCTGGAGTCAGAGTTGGACTCACGCTCATTGTCAACTCTCACCAAACTCTCTGACCTTTGTAGTAACTTAATCTTTTGAATCCGCAGCTTCCTCATCCATTAAATGGGAGCAGTAAACCTCATCTCATCACTTAGAGTTTATATAACATGCCAGGTGCTAAGCCAAGGTTGTTTTTTTCTTTTTTTGCAAATTAGAATTATTAATATGAATTCACTATGGCTCCATAATCCAGTTTACAAATTTATTAACTTCTTTTTTAATCTTATCCCATAGTTAGTAAATAGTACTTATTTTTTTTAACTTTAGGTGTAATTCACATATCATACCACTCACCCTTTATACAATTCCCTGGTTTTTAGTGTATTCACAAGGTTGTATAACCACTACCACTAATTAGTTCCAGGACATTTTCATCACCCCAAAAAGAAATCCCACACCCCTTAGTTTCACCCTTCACCCCCCGCTCTTCGAGCCCCTGGCAACCACTAATTCACTTTGTCTCTTGATTTGCTTGGGCAGCTTTGCTAGACTTGTTCACCTACTCCCCGGAGCAACGCTGTAAGTTAGGATCTGGGAGTGTTATTCATTTAAGTGAGAGACTGTCAGGTTTTTGTTTCGAATGAAAACATCTAGAAGTCATCATTTTAATTAGTTTCCCTTTACCACAGTGAGCATAGGAGAGGGGCAGTCACCACTGGGCCTCTTCCAGCGTCGTGAGGAAAACTCACGTGTTCACAGCGTTTACAAAACCAGATACTGATGTCAAGTAAACATCATTTCAAGAAAACAGATTATTGAGTAATATACCCAATTAGAATTAGGGGCTTTTCAGAGGTAAGGTGAATTTCTTAGGACTAAGAATTTTAAGGGGTGCCTGGCTGGCTCAGTCAGGGAAGCATGGGACTCTTGATCTCAGGGTCCTGAGTTCGAGCCTCACGATGCGGGTAGAATTTACTTAAATAATAGATAGATGGATAGATAGATAGGAAGAAAGAACTGTACAGGTTCTGAAATCTGGATTTCTCATAAAGACTCGCTTACAGGCTGGGGCGCCAGGGTGGCTCAGTGGGTTAAAGCCTCTGCCTTCAGCTCAGGTCATGATCTCAAGGTCTTGGGATCGAGCCCTGCATTGGGCTCTCTGCTCAGCAGGGAGCCTGCTTCCTCCTCTCTTTGCCTACTTATGATCTCTGTCTGTCAAATAAATAAATAATATCTTTGAAAAAAAAAGACTCATTTACTGGAAATGACAGCAGAAGACATTAGCAAGGACAAATTTATGGTGCATTACATGACCTTTTTTTTTTTTTTTTTTTTTTTGCAGCCTCGGGGGAGTCAGCGGTGAGTTTCCCCTTCTACCCACAAGCTGACCCTCCCAGCAATCCTGTGACAGAAGCACTCTTGCTTTTGCAGCTGACAGATTTGAGGCACAGATTTGTTTAAAGTTCACACAGAGGGGCCATCTGGGCAGGTGCCTACGTCTCATGGCCTCTCTCTTTGCCGGTTCGGCCTCCCCAGGACTCTGCCCTCTCCCTGAAGCAGCAGGAGAAAATGACCAAGTTTCAGGTGAGTTGAGTTTTGATTTTGATTGAAATTACATGCCTTTTCCTCCAAGATTAGACGCATGTTTTCTCTCCTGTGGGAGAGATCAAGGAGGAAAACCGGTGTTTGCTATGTGCCAGTTACTTAATTTTTGATTAGTTTTTCTTTTGTTTCTGTCCTTAGCTTTTGTTTTGGTTTTAGCTTTGGTTTTATTTTAGCATTGTCTCCATTTCACAAATAACAGCTCAGAAATTTGTAGATATCAGAAAATGGGAAAAAAAAAGCCCACATTACTACACTGCATATATGTCAGCTGTTTTCCCCGGGCTCTATTTATATAATTGTACTTGCAGTATATGTGCGGTTTCCAGTTCTGTCTCTTCACTTGGATATCACTTCAGTTTTTTGTGATTCAGCATTCTTTTGTGTGCTTATCTTAAAAGGGCTTCTAAGGGCACCCACGTGGCTCAGTCGGTTAAGCATCTGCCTTCAGCTCAGGTCACACTGGGCTCAGGATGCTGGGATCGAGTCCGAGTCGGGCTCCTGGCTCAGCAGGAAGCCTGCTTCTCCCTCTCCCTCTGCCTGCCGCTCCCCCTGCTTCTGTGCAAGTGTGTGCGTGCTCTCTCTGTTTCGAATAAATAAAAACAGAATCTTTTTTAAAAATCATTTTTTGAGTTACAGTTTGCATATGATTTACATATCATAAAACATTTGATCAGTTTTGACAAATACGCACACCTACATGACCACCACCACAGTCTAGATGTAAACCATTTCTGTCACCACTAAAAGCTCTGGTTCCCTCACATCCCTTCCCAGTTAATCCCAGTGCCACACACCTGGCTGTAGGCAATGATTGATCTACTTGATGTCACTACAGATTAGATTCATCTTAAGTTTCTTGAGTTTCATATGTTGGTCCTCTTGGGAGCTTCCCAGGTATAATCTGAAATGGGTCCCCATATGTGGGAAGTGGGGAGAGATGGAAGAAAGGGCCGGCCACTCCGGGTTGGTAGGTGGCAGTTTCACTAAGCAAAGGGAACTTACCTGTGAGGCCTGTTTGGGCAGCAACAAGATGAATGGATCCCCTCTGCTACCCTCCAAATCTTGCAAGTTTGTAAGGAGGCCCTGACTGTCCTCAGTCGTGTATACCGTGCAGGTGTTTTCAACACCACGTCATTGTCTCAAGGCTATATCCTTGGAGCAGCCTCTGAGAGCAGGAAGGACAAGCAGAACCCACATCCCAAGGACAGGGAGGAGGTGAGGAGTCCCCGAGTGCCAGGGTCCAGCTCACAGGTCATTTGGCAGTCCTGTCTTGATGATGTTCCCCCCACGCCACGTAAATGAAAGTGTACAGTTTGTCCTCATTTGGTGTCTGGCTCCATATGCTCATCATCATGTTTTTGGACACAGATCAGCAGTCCTTTTATTGCTGTATAGTATTTCACTGTGTGAGTTTACCGGATTTGGTTATCCATTCACCCGCTGATGGACGTTTAGGTGGCATCTTGTTTTTGGACATCGGATTGCTCCTTCTGTATTTGTGTACTAGATGTTTGGATGAACACAGCCCTTCTCTCTCTTTCTCTCTCTCTCTGATACTAGGAGGAGAATCTAATCTCTGGGTCATATGCTTAACTTCTTAAGAAATTGTCAAATCATTTTCTTCTGTGGTTGCCTGTTTTCCATTCTTTCCAGCAATGTGTTTGTGTTCCAGTTGGCTCCACATTTTTTTCTAACATTTGATATTTTCAGTCTTAAATTTTAATTATCCTATGACAGTTGTGTTGTGATATATCATTGTGGCTTTCATTTGCATATATTTTCCTGGTGCCTGAGATGTTAAATGTCTTTTTTCTGCTTTTTGTTCATCTGTATATCTTCTTTTTTTTTTTTTAAAGATTTTATTTATTGATTTGACAGAGAGAGATCACAAGTAGACAGAGAGGCAGGCAGAGAGAGAGAGAGGGAAGCAGGCTCCCTGCTGAGCAGAGAGCCTGATGCGGGACTTGAACCCAGGACCCTGAGATCATGACCTGAGCCGAAGGCAGCGGCTTAACCCACTGAGCCACCCAAGCGCCCTGTATATCTTCTTTTTGAAAGGTTTGTTCAATTCTTTTGCTTATTTTTAAACTAAGTTGTTTATCTTTGTAGTGAATTTTAATAGTTCTTTTAATATTCTAAATACATGTCCTTCAGACCCATGGGCATTTAGGTCTTTCATTTATATCTTCTTTCATTTTGGGGGGTCTTGGTTCTTTCCCTCAGTCATGTTTTATAGCTTTCAAGATGTGGGTTTCTTACATGTATCCTGTTTAATTTATCCCTAAATGATTTATGTTTTATGTACTATTCTGAATGCTGTCTGTTGTTTTTTTTTTTAATTCAATTTCTACTTGTTTTTTGCTAGAATATAGAAATACATTGACTTTTGTATCTTGACTTTGCTAAATTTGCATATTAAATCTAGAAACATTTTTCTAAGCTGTCAGGATTTTCTGTACAGTCATCAGTAAATAAAGAGTTGTATTTTTTCCATTCCTGTCCCCATTGTATAGACTTCTTTTTCTTCTCTTATTGCACTGGCTAAAACTTTTAGAACAATTTTGCCATATATATCCTTTCCTTGTTCTTTTCTATTTTTTTTAGAGATTATATTTATTGGGTGCCTGGGTTGTTCAGTTGGTTAAGCAACTGCCTTTGGCTCAGGTTACGATCCTAGAGTCCTGGGATCGAGTTCCACCTTGGGCTCCCAGCTCCATGGGGAGTCTGCTTCTCCCTCTGACTTTTTCCCCTCTCATGCTCTCTCTCACTGTGTCTCTCTCAAATAAATAAATAAAATCTTTTTTAAAAAGATTGTATTTATTAGAGAGAGAGCAAGCAAGAGAGTGAGCATGGCGGGGGGCAGAGAGAGAGGGAGAAGCAGGCACCCCACTGAGCAGGGAGCCCGACCCAGGGCTCTATCCAGGATCCTGGGATCATGACCTGAGCTAAAGACAGATGCCTAACCGACTAATCACCCAGGCATCCCCCTTTCCTTGTTCTTTTCTTTTATTTTATTTATTTGACGCAGAGAGAGAAAGCACAAGCAGGTGGAGTAGCAGGCAGAGGAAGAGGGAGGAGCAGGTTCCTGACACGGGGCTCGATCCCAGCACCCTGGGATCATGACCTGAACTGAAGGCAGTTGCTTAACCAACTGAGCCACCCAGGCGCCCCTCCTTGTTCTCAATCTTAGGGAGAAAGCATTCAGTCTTCCACCATCTGGTGGGCTTTTTTAGATGTCCATCACTGGGGGTGAGGAAGTTCCCTCTAGTCCTACTTTACTCCGAGTTTTTGTTATCAATGAGCATCAACTTTGTAAGTGTATTTTCTTTTAATAATCTGAAGTCATATGTTTCTTTGGTTCAGTTAAATTCTTTGAAACCCTCTTTTTTAAGCTTGGTTGGGGTGGGCTAGAGTAACCTTTATTCCAGAGCAATAGCCCTCAGGAGCAATTTTGCCGCACCATGGAACATCTGGCAGTGTCCAGACATTTTGGACTGTCAGGTCTAGAGGGTCAGTACCACGGACAGCTACTGGGCAGAGGCCAGGGAGGCTCTTAAATGTCCTACAGTGCACAGAATAGCCCCCAGAAACACAGAACTGCCTGGTACAAAATGTCAACTGTTGAGAAACTCTGTTCTAGAGAGATTTACCCTTCTACTGTAGGGCGGCCCTTCAGTTGCTGCCAAATGTCCCTAGTGGTGAGTGAGGGCTTTCCATTTGGCTGTTCGGAATTCAAACATCTCTAAGTTCTACTAAGGGAACCATTTAGCCCGTCGCTCCCCAGGTACTTTTTGCCTGGCCTGTGGAGTTTCGTCCTATATGTGCACAGTGTGGTTTTTAGCAATAGACTCAAAGGGATTCCTGTGCAGATTTCCAGTGCTTTTCTTGGGCATAATTCCCTCCTTTATAGAACTTTGCTCTGCATTTTCCACCTCTCCGGTCTCCCCATTCTGATTTTTCTGTCTCTTCAATTCAGCAAGGCTCTGACTGGGTTCTGCCTTCCTGCACTTGCAGTTTAGAAGTCATCGATGGGCAAACATCTAGGGGGATCGGAGGGCCTGCCTCATTTTTTCCCTTCATTTCAGAGATCGAAGTATTGTGCTTTCAGTGTCTGAAAGCAGTTTGTTTTCATACTCTTTTTCTATTTTACTATTTATAATAGGAGGACTTTTTAATTTTTTATTTATTTTTTATTTTTTGGAGGATTAAAAAAAAAGATTTCATTTATTCACTTGACAGAGAGAGAGAGAGTGCACAAGCAGTGGGGAGTGGCAGTCAGAGGCAGAGGGAGAAGCAGTCTTCCTGCCAAGCAGGGAACCCAAGGTAGGGCTTGATCCCAAGACCCTGAGATCATGACCTGAGCCGAAGGCAGAAGCTCAACTGACTGAGCCCCCCAGTCACCCCGGAGGACCTGTTTAGTACCAGTTATTCTGTTATAGCCAGAAACAGAGGTTTCTGTCACCTGCATTTTTGATGACTGCATGATATTTCAATGAATTGATGTTCCTTAAACCAAAAAAAAAAAAAAAAAAAAAATTCCCGGGGCACCTGGGTGGCTTCGTTGGTTAGGCATTTGATCCCAGGGTCCTGGCATTGAGCCCCAAATTGGGCTTCCCGCTCAGCAGGAGTCTGCTTCTCCCTCTCCCTCTGTGTACGTGTGCACGAGTGTGTTTTCTCTCTCTGGTAAATAAATAAAACCTTAAATTTAAAATATTCCCTAATTCTAGGGATGCCTGGGTGGCTCATTTGGTTAAGCGGCTGCCTTCGGCTCAGGTCATGATCCCAGCATTCTGGGATCGAGTCCCACATCGGGCTGCTTGCTCAGCAGGAAGCCTGCTTCTCCCTCTGCCTCTGCCTGCCACTCTGTCTGTGCTCACTCTCAAAAAAAAAAAAAAAAGTTTAAAATATTCCCTAATCCTAGAAATTTAAGTTTAAGATTTTTTCAAAAGATTTCTTTATTTGAGAGAGCGAGACTGGGACAGGGAGGGGCAGAGGGAGAGGGAGAGAGTCTCAAGCAGAAGCTGGAGGCAGGACTCAGTCTCATATCCCTGAGGTCATGACCTAAGCTGAAATCAAGAGTCAGATGCTTACCCGACTGAGCCACCTAGGAGCCCCAGGAGTTTAAGATTTTTAAAAAATGTCTTAGAGAACACTGCTGTAACAGTTTCCCTGCATAAAAGCTCAGTTCTCAAAAAGTAATTCTGGAAACTGCCCCTTCTGGGAAGATGGAGGACATGTTATTCTTCCCACTAAGTACAGCTAAAAATCCTGGATGTTATATGTAAAGCAAACATGAAAGGTGGAGAGAAGGCCAACTGGCTAGGGACCTAACTTGTGGAGTGACATGGTGATGAGATACTTGGCCTTTCTTTTTGCCTCATGTACCCCAGACTTCTTGCTGGAGAAGATGGCAACATGGAAATACCAATGAGTTCAGACCAAAAAGCCCAAGAAAGCCTTCTCTGGCCAGAGCATGAGGAAAGGGCAGCTTAGCAAGACAGAAAACTTTTAGATAGTAACTGTTCTTTTTCAACCACACACACACACACACACACACACACACAAACCTGGATCCCCACACCCACCCCTACGAGGGTATAACAAGGAGCCTAGACTTCCTGCCTTGCCAGGCTGTAATGAGCCACCCCAACCCCACTGTCAGGGAGTAATGAGTACCCACCTGCCACTGGCGTCAGTGGAGACAATGTGGGGGCCTGGACTTCCGCACTCACCTAGCAGCAATGAGCTGCCTCTCCTTTTCCCAGTGTGGGTGGTGTCAGGGGAAGCCTAGTGGAGCTCTGGGTGTGGTGCATAAACAATGAATTTTGGAACACTGAAAAAAAATTTTTTTTAAGTGTAGTTATATAATTTTATAAATAAAATAATTAAAAACTAAAAGAAGAAGAAGAAGAAGAAGAAACCAATGGGGAACAGTAGCAACTTACCTCTGCCCATTTCAGCCAGGATATAATATTCTCTCCATAGACCTAGTAAAGGGCCAGAAGTCTGAGCCCAGAAGTAGTGACCTTCTCACTCCACCAGATGTCAACAGAGGCCAAGTGGAGAATCTGGGGTTATGTCCCTGAGCTGGCAGTAACAAAGCTCTGTCTCCCTTCCCCTTTGAAAGATGTGTCAGAGGAGGCCTAGTCAAACAGAAGATTTTAATGAAATCACGAGGCTGATTACATAATAACTCAAAAGGTTCAAGTTCCGGTGGAAAATCACTTGGTTTGCAAGAACCGTGAAATCTCAGCTGGTTTGAAAGATGATCAACAGACACAGTAAGATGGTGCTTACTGATGGTAGTTCTCAGTTATAAGTGATACAAAATGTCCGTTATCTGACAAAGACTTCCTTATTGTGGTAAAATATTCATAACATATATTATTTTAAGTGGTTTTAAGTGTACCGCTCAATGACATTAAGTACATTCACAGTGTCGTGCAAGCATTACCGCCACACATCTCCAGAACTTTTTCATCTTCAAACTGAAACTCTGTACCCATTAAACAGTAACTCCTATTACCACCTCCCCACCCTGCCTCTGGAAACCACCAGTTTACTTTCTGTCTCTATGTATTTGACTATTCTAGATACCTCATATAGGTAGAATCATATACATGGTCCTTTTTATGATGGCTTATTATTCACTTACCATAATGTCTTCTAGATTCATCCATTGGATAAAGATTTTATTTTATTTTATTTTTTTTTATTAAAATTTTTTTTTTTAATTTATTTGACAGACAGATCACAAGTAGGCAGAGAGGCAGGCAGAGAGAGAGAGGAGGAAGCAGGCTCCCTGCAGAGCAGAGAGCCCGATGCGGGACTCGATCCCAGCACCCTGAGATCATGACCTGAGCCGAAGGCAGAGGCTTAACCCACTGAGCCACCCAGGCGCCCTGGATAAAGATTTTAGAGCAGCTATCATATTAAGGAGGGCACGTATTGCATGGAGCACTGGGTGTGGTGCATAAACAATCTTGGAACATGAAAAAATTAAAAAAAATAAGCAATTACAGATTTCTTATTTAAACTAGATGTTTCTTTAAGGTTTGATAATGAGGAAGATAAACACACAAACTATTCTGGGGTCTTCCCCCCTTTTCAGTACTCTGTTGTCTTTACTAACAGTAGTAGCAATAGTAAATGCAATAATAACAGCTAAAAAAAAAAAAGGAAGTACACCAAGACATAGTCTAGTTAAACTTCTGAAAACTAACAACAAAGAAAAAAATTTTTAAGGGAGAGAGATACAACACCTTAGCTATAAGGGAAAAAACATTCAAAGACTGTGGATTTCTCATCAGAAACCATGGTGGCCCGAAGAAAATGACACACTATTTTTTAGATTATTTATTTGACCGACAGAGATCACAAGTAGGCAGAGAGGCAGGCAGAGAGAGAGGAGGAAGCAGGCTCCCTGCTGAGCATAAAGCCTGATGCGGGGCCCGATCCTAGGACCCTGAGATCATGACCTGAGCCGAAGGCAGAGGCTTGAACCCACTGAGCCACCCAGGTGCCCCGAAACGCTATTTTTTTTTTAAAGATTTTATTTATTTATTGGTCAGAGAGAGGGAGAGTGAGCGAGCATAGGCAGAGTGGCAGGCAGAGGCAGAGGGAGAAGCAGGCTCCCTGCCGAGCAAGGAGCCCAATGTGGGACTCAATCCCAGGACGCTGGGATCATGACCTGAGCCGAAGGCAGCCGCTTAACCAACTGAGCCACCCAGGCGTCCCCCGAAACGCTATTTTTAAAGTGCTGAATGAGAAGAACTGTCAACTATTGCCAGTTATGCTGGAAATAAAAATTAAAAACAAATATCACCCAGGGCGCCTGGGTGGCTGAGTCAGTTAAGCCTCTGCCTTCAGCTCAGGTCATAATCCTAGTTTCCTGGGATCGAGTCCCACATCGGGCTCCTTGCTTGGCGGGGAGCCTGCTTCTCCCCCTGCCTGCCTTTCCCCCTGCTTGTGTTCTTTCTTTCTCTCTGACAAATAAATAAAAATAAAATCTTTTTAAAAAATAAAATAAAAAAATAAAAAATATGACCCAACTCTATGCAGTCTTTAAGAAACTCACCTCAGGGGGCTCCCTTCTACTTGCTAGATGGGATGCTGCCTTATTCATGAAACACTTTATAAAACTAATTAGATGTTCAAGTTAAAAAAAAAAAACTCACTTCAAATATAATGGTATCAGCAGGTTGAAAAGTAAAAGGGTGGAAAAAGATACACCATGCAAACGTTAATCAAAAGAAAGCAGGGGTGACTAAATTAATGTGGAACTGTACTCATACACTTACCATATCAATTATAATTACATTAATAAAAACAAGCATCCGTTGAGGACCTACTCTGTGGCAGATGTATGTGTTCTATACATCTGTCTGGTGGACATCTGCGACGATGGAGATCGTCTAGATTGTGCTGTCCCGATATGGTGGTCATTAGCCACATGTGGCTCTTGACCACCTGAAACATGGCTAGTGCAACTGAGGGAGTGAAGTTCTAATTTTATGTAATTTAAAATTTAAATTTACCTAGTCACATGTGAGTCACATGGCTACTGAATCGGACAGCACAGTTATGAAAACATATATATATATCCATTTACATAACTAGCCATCTTCCAGCATGGACACCGTCACATAGATGAGGAAATAGATTAAGGATTTGTCTGAAGATCTTACAGCTTGTGAGGGCCAGGGCTTGGGGACTTACACGGTATAGCAAGAAACACTGAACACTTGGACACTTTGAATGCTGTCATGGGTAGGTGGCATGGCCTTCAGACTGCAGAGGGTCCTTTGTCTCGCTCCCCAAGAAGGGTGACCTGTTGGTTTGGCAGATTGTAATGAAGTGATAGTCCCCTGATGTAGTGATTTTGTGAATCAGAAAGGAAAGACAAAAATTATTTGTTGGGACTGCTGGGACTAAATTGACTTAACATCTCTGGGACGATTTGGTAGTACCGATCAAATTATAAACTGTATATACCCCATGATTCCAGAGTTACTGTTCTAGGGCACTAACTGTAGGAATACTCACAAGTGTTACCACGTTAAATATACAGGGATTATTTGTAATTGGTTATGTTCTTTTTTTAAAAATCATGTTCAGGGCGCCTGGGTGGCTCAGTGGGTTAAAGCCTGTGCCTTCGGCTCGGGTCATGATCCCGGGGTCCTGGGATCGAGTCCCGCGTCGGGCTCTCTGCTCAGCGGGGAGCCTCTGCTTCCCTTCCTCTCTCTCTGCCTGCCTCTCTGCCTACCTGTGATCTCTGTCAAATAAATAAATAAAATTTAAAAAAATAATAAAATAAAAATAAAAATAAATAAAAATCATGTTCAGCCCAATATATAGTACATCATTAGTTTTTGACGTAGTGTTCAGTGGTTCAGTGCTCATCATAGCACATGCCCTCCTTAATGCCCATCACCTGGTTATCCCATCCTCCCCCCATCCCGCCTTTCTGCAACCCTCAGCTTTCAAATTGCAATTAAACTTTAAAATTTTAACTTTAATTTGAAATTTTTAATTATTTTAAATTTTAAATTAGTTTTTAGTTTTTTAGTCATATGCTTGATGTGACTGTGGCAAAGTCATGGAAATGACATGTGGGGTGGAGAAGAGGAAACCACTTAGGTAGAGCCAAGGCCCTCAGAATCCAGAACAGCGTCTCACCCATCCTCCCACCTTCTTAGTGCACCTTGTCCCCACTGGCCATTGGTTATGAGATGAAGTTGTGTGTGCTTGGTGTTGTAGGAGGCGGTGACATTCAAGGACGTGGCGGTGGTCTTCACCAGAGAGGAGCTGGGCCTGCTGGATCCCATCCAGAGGAAGCTGTACCAGGATGTGATGCTGGAAAACTTCAGGAACCTGCTCTCTGTGGGTGAGCACAGGGGCTCTCTCTGACTCAACGTCAGCCCCCTGGAATGTCTTGGTTTCAAATGTTTAAGACTTGGGGACTCTTACAGTGCTTCCCCAAACTTGGGGGTCTCAGGTTCCTCATTCTGGTGGGACACCTTCTCTGTACCTTGTCTGTTTTTTGTCAGATTACGGTTGTGACATCTTGTGAGGTTTATAATCAGTTGGTGACTTACGTCATTATTGTGTTGAATGAGACAGGTCAGAAATGGCGTGGCTCCTTGTCAGGAGCTACATACTGTGCAACAGAAATTGTGAGCAAAAGCAGGAAAGGAAATGTGGCGGGAGTAGATTGTGGTTAGAGTGAGGTCAGTACATCTAACAGTAGTAGCAATAGTATCCTGTGTTTGTATCCTGGATCACAACATAAAAGGTGTTTGTTACAGCAAGTCACGGTCAGAATTTGGGAAAATACTACGTAAAGAGCATAAAGACTGTAATTCTGGAATTAGCATTTTTGTCTTCAATTTATGCACGTTGTACACGCGCCATTTCTTTTTCATAGGCTGTGAACCCTTCAGATTAGATACGACATTACCGTTGGGGAGAAAAGAGAAGCTTTGGATGCGGGAGACAGAAACCCAGGGGGGTCGGCGTTCAGGTGAGAGGCGGGCAGCTCGGGGTCCTCACCACCTCCCTGATGGCCAGCCCGCCCCCGCCCTGCATCCGTTAGCCTGCCTCAGTGCAGCAGCTCGCCCACTGCCCCTGCCCCAGGGGGCGGTCTGTTCTGCACATGCGCGAGGTCCCGGAAGTCAGCCCGTGTCCCTCCACATATTTAGTCTTATGTGACTTCTGTCTTGGTACAACCCGCAGTCCTCATGGTGGCCGTTTGGACAGTAGTGAGCCGGCCTTCTGCGGGCTTGTCCTGACCTGTGCTCCCTGCTTCACGCTGGGTGAGCGCTGCCCCCTCCCCGCGCAGTTCCATCCTCCCTGCTCTGGCCTCGCCTCTCTCCCTTCCTTCCCCCTTCTCTTCGCTCCCTCCTTCCTCCATTTATCTTTAATTTGTATATCCCTCAGTAAACCCAGCCTGAGATAACAGCAGTAGTCATTCCTACTGGATATGAGCAGCACAAAGCCCAAACCAAATCAAACAAACAAAAAACCAGAAAAATCCCTCTGCGAATCTGGTGTCCTGAGTGGTGAGGGGAAGGTCTTCCCGGTCCTTCAGTTGTTTCTTCCCATGTATCCTTCTGCTGCGTGAGGCCCAATGCGGTGAGGCATGTTGGGTGCTCGCCCCATCCAACTCGCTGCCTTGTTCTTAGGTATAAACCTAACCTTGGGGGGTAGGATCCCAGTGATTACCATGGTCTGTTTGCTGCTGCTTTTTTTTTTTTTTTAAATTTTATTTATTTGTTCATGAGAGACAGAAAGAGAGAGGCTGAGGCAGAGGGAGAATCAGGCTCCCCGCTGAGGAGGGAGCCCAATGCGGGACTCCATCCCAGGACCCCGAGATCATGACCTGAGCCGAAGGCAGACACTTCACCAACTGAGCCCCCCAAACGCTCTGTCTGTTTGCTTCTAATTAGGTAGTTTCCAGGTTGCTTTGCCTCCATGTATAAATCTATACTTTTATCTTTTAAATTTTGTCCTTTTTACTGATATATATCTCAGATACAGAAAACTGCACCAATCATAAACGTATAGCCCCATGAATTTTCAGGGCATAAAATGACTTATGTGCCTCACAGTTCTTTTTACTGAGGTACAATTTAAATTTGTACATCCTCAGTGTGCAGTTCTGACAACCGGACAGTCCTCTGTAAGCCGTATTCCTCAGAACGCGGAACAATCTCACAACATATTCTGTTCCCCTGTCCCTTATTTTTTTTAAACATTTTATTTATTTATTTGACAGACGGAGATCACAAGTAGGCAGAGAGGCAGGCAGAGTGGGGGGGGGGGGGAAGCAGGCTCCCTGCTGAGCAGAGAGCCCGATGCGGGGCTCGATCCCAGGACCCTGAGAGCATGACCTGAGCTGAAGGCAGAGGCTTTAACCCACTGAGCCACCCAGGCACTCCTCCCCTGTCACTTATTAAAAGCTCTTTAAGCAAACATCAGAACACCCCAGGATTTTGTGTTTTGTCTATCCATCTAGGTGCCCTGCCCCATCTGTGAAGAATCTTCTTGAGGTCTGTTTTTACTGCACAGAAGCACAAACTGAAGGGTTTCTTCTCCCTTAATGATCTTCACAAACAGAAGCTCACAGAGAAGGATCCTAAGTGGATCCCACTGTTCGTGCTCCTCCCGGAGACAGTTCGCACGAGCAGAATAAGCCAGCGTGACTGAAGGACTATTTCAGAACATTGTTAATGTCGACCTGATTAGAAGTTATGTGGCACTTGTATTAACGACCTACTGCTATATAACAGATTACTCTTGAACTTATTGGCTTACAGCCACAAATATTTATTTACAGTTAATGTGAACCCAGGAATCTTGGGGCAAGTTTCTGGGTGGTTCAGGCTCCGGGCTTCACGAAGTCACTGACAAGGAGCCCCCGGGCTGCAGCTGAGGGCCTGATGGGGCCGCAGGGTCTACTTCCAAGATGGGCTCATTCACATTGTTGTTGGCAAAATACCTCAGTTCCTTGCTGGCTGTTTGACATCTCAGTTCCTTGCCAAGTGGGCCTCTCCCTACGGTTGCCTGAATGTCCTTAAAACATGGCATCTGGTTTCCCCAAAAGCTGTGCAGAGCAGAAGGCAGAAGCCACCATGTCTTCCCTGACCTAACCTTGGAAATGACATAGCATCACTTCTGCCATGTTCTGTTGGTTTCATAGACTGATCCTGGTACATTGTGGGAGGGGACCTCTGTCAGGGTATGGATACCCGGAGGCAGGGACCACTGGGTCACCATCTTGTGTGCCGACCGCCACAGCACCTTTTGTGCATGTATGAGCCCACAAAATCTGAAAAATGACATTAACCTTCCAGGCTTATCAGAAAATCCAGCCCAATTAAGTGACCACGATGGCCATAGGATTTTACTCCTAAGGGATGTGTCCACTGTGGGATTACATTTTCTAGGTGGTTTTTTTTTTTTCTAGTTACAATGTTCATCAGTTGAATATCATATATTTGGACTTCATGGGAATAAAGGAGAATTCTCTCAAATCTAGCTTGTTTAGTGTGTGTTTACTGGCTAAATTAAGGATATAAATATACCATTGCATGGATTCATTTGGACATTTGGACAGAGGAAGTATTTCCTTTTGTGAATACATTTTTTTTTTTTTTTACAAATACTTACATTTATTTGCAAATACATACAATCACTTTTCAAAGATGTCCTCTCTTTTTTTTCTGCAGGAACTCTTGGCATCACCTGATAATCCCATCTGTAAACAGATGTAAAAAAAGACAGATTCAGCCTTCTGTAGCCATTTTTGGCTTGTCTTTTACAAATACGCAGATAGTGTGATATAACCGTGATTTTAAGGCTTATAAATATCTACAATTCTATAGCTCTTACACACCTGCTGCAGAAAAGGCAAGAATTATTTAAGTGATTATTTTTATGGACAAAGAAGTAAAGTTTCTCCTCTATATAATCTTTCTGGGACATCTTTTTGTTGCTCTGAAGCCTTGTATTTCTAATTTTGATCCCAGACATTAGTTTTGGTATCATTGGAAATAAGTCTTCTTGGCCCTTAGTGGGCAGGAGGCTAATCATTACCTCTTCGTTTCCATAGGCATAAAAAAGCCAGTGAGAAAGTCAAGCTGAAGTCTTTATGGGTTGAATAAGTTCTCTTGGTTTGATTGACTGATGAAATATTTCACTTGTCCACATTTTCACCTCTGAATCCTCTTTATCCTTCCAGGGCTCAGGAATCGAAATGAGATAGAGACTTTTCAAAAAGTAGGACTAAGCTACCTTTTACATGAAGATGTTACATGCTGGTAGTTGTGGGAACAATTTACAAGTAAATTAGCCAGAAATCAAGACTCCATAATAAATCTGCAAAGCAAGAAGTCCAAGTCGCCAAAACAAAGTGGTTCCTCCTGTCAGATGTGGGCAGGAGAATCTCCTCTGGTTTCTGAAGGTGAAAACTATGTAATAAAACTTCAAGGGAGAGTTCCAATAATATCAGAAGTCGAGAGTTTCCAATTAAGATCACTGGTGATTTCTGGAAGAAAATCTGTCTGAGAGAGTCACACAATTACCAGAGGAGGTGTCGGCAGGTTGACATAAAAAATAAACCGTATAAGTGTGACTGTTTTGTTACGACAAGGACCTCCCATCATCATGATCAGGAAGAACATGAAAGCAGGAGGGCTTGTAGCCATAGTGATTGTGGAAAAGACTTCACAAGGGAATCATGTCAAAATAGCATGACCCACTCAGGAGGGAAGCACGATGTATGTAGTAAGTGTGGGCAGGACATCAGTGACAGCTCGGTGTTTTGCATTTGCCAGAGCATTCACTCGGGAGAAATGTGGTAGGAATGATGAGTGTGACGGGGGCTTCAGTCAGAGCTCAGACCTGCAAAATCATCGGGGAGTCAACACAGGAGAAAAGCCCTGCAAACATCTGGTATGTGCTAAGAGCTTCAGTCAGAACTCCTGTCTGGAGGGGATCCGTATAGGTGTGATATGTGTGGGAAGGGCTCCAGTCATAGCCTACATCTCAGCATTTGCTGTGTAGATGACACTGGAGAGAAATCCTCTGATTGTGAGATATGTGATAAAGGCTTCAATCAGACATCACAACTTCAGGCCTATCAGAGAGCCCAGCCTAGAGACAGATCCTACAAATGGGAGGCATGTGACAGGCTAGTTAATCAGAATCCTGGTCCTCTCCAGAGAGTTCACTTGGGAGAGAAACCATATAAATGTGAGGTATGTGGGAAGGACTTCAGTAAGGCCTCAAATCTTCAAGCCCATCAGAGAATCCACACCAGAGAGAAGCCATATAAATGTGATGTGTGTGATAAGAACTTCAGCCGGAATTCCCACCTTCAGGCCCATCATCGAGTCCACACAGGAGAAAAACCATACAATGTGACACATGTGGTAAGTACTTCACTCAGATTTCCCATCTTCAGGTCCGTCAGACAGTCCACACAGGAGAGAAGCCATACAAATGTGAGACATGTGGTAAGGGCTTTTGTCAGAGTTCCCATCTTCAAGACCATCAGAGAATCCACACTGGAGAGAAACCTTACAAATGTGATGTGTGTGGGAAGGGTTTCAGTTGGAGCTCCCATCTTCAAGCCCATCAGAGAGTCCATACGGGGGAGAAACCCTACAAATGTGAAGAACGTGGGAAAGGCTTCATCTGGAACTCGTATCTTCATGTTCATCAGAGGATCCACACGGGAGAGAAACCCTATAAATGTGGCATGTGTGGGAAGAGCTTCAATCAGACCTCACATTCAAGCCCATTGGAGAGTCCATATGGGAGATAAACCCTACAAATGTTTTGACTGTGGTAAGGGCTTTAGTAAAAGTTCATGTTTTCAAGTTCATCAGAGAGTCCATAGTGGTGATAAATCCAGTCCATGTGATGAGTGTGATAAAAATGTTCTTCAGAACGTATAGATTTCTCATTTTCATCAGAAAATCCACACAGCAGAGAATGTTTATAAAATACTGTGTTTAAAAAATAATACTGTGTTTTAAAATTCAGGAGAGAGCTGAATTTTTTTATCATCCTGTTTGTTGTGTCATCGTAGACAGTGTTTCCAGCAGAGCCCAAATTTCACAGTCCTCCAGATGTAGAAACCCTGTGAGAATGGCACAGTAAGTTTCAGTCAGAACCTTCACATCCAACCTAATCTACACAGGAGAGAGGCCTTAAAAAGGATAAGCAAGGTCAGGACATTAGCAGAAGTGTAGGGAGGGACATGACGAAGTCCGTGTCCATTAGAAGAGAAGCTCCATGGGGCCAGGAACTTTGTTTACTGTTCAATGACCGTGACCTCAGACCAGTACTTAACAAACAGTAGGTGCCCTGGAAATGTCTAACTTGGTGGAGAGGAAAACTATTATAAATAAGACAAATACTTAAAAGTTGTAAGGAGCTCAGCCCCAGTTAGTCATTATCAGTTGTACCTGGAAAATGATTCATTATTATTATTATTATTATTATTATTAATTTTTTGAGAGAACAAGGGCAGCGGAGGAGGGGCAGAGGGAGAAGCAGACTCCCTGCTTAACACGGAGCCCAACACAGGGCTCCATCCCAGGATGCCGGGGTCATGACCTGACCTAAAGGTAGATGCTTAACAGACTGAGCCACTCAGGCACCCCAGGAAAAGGATTCTTCTCAGAAGCTTTTTTTTAAATTTTTTATTTATTTTTTTTTTTAAATTTTTTTTTTTTTTTAAGATTTTATTTATTTATTTGACAGAGAGAGATCACAAGTAGATGGAGAGGCAGGCAGAGAGAGAGAGAGGGAAACAGGCTCCCTGCTGAGCAGAGAGCCCGATGTGGGACTCGATCCCAGGACCCTGAGATCATGACCTGAGCCGAAGGCAGCGGCTTAACCCACTGAGCCACCCAGGCGCCCCTTCTCAGAAGCTTTTAAAACAATTGAAGGAAGTGACCACTTCATAAAAATACATAAAATCATGAAACCTGCAATTTGAGTGTAAGAGGTTTTTTTTTTTGCAGTTGGCTCCTGTCCTCCGCAGATGTTCAGTTTTCCAGCCACAATAAGCTTACGTTTGCATCTGACCATTTAAGACTTCTCTGTGCATCATCGGTCGTGCAGAGCCCACACCTCACTGTCTCCTCTGGGTCTTTTGTAATGGGAACAGACGGAATGAAAAGGAAAAGAGGAACTTTTTAATTTCATAAAAGATGATGAGAGAGGAGTGTGGAAAAAGGGGGAGCATGTCTTAGCATGCCTTTTGGACATTGAACTAAGCTACTAAGACACAGAGCATTTTGTATACTACCCCGTGCTTCCCAGCTGCCTCAGTAGCTTTCAAGTTCGCCAGGTTGAACAGTTTACTTCAGTGTATATTTACTGGAGAGAGAGAAGTTTCCCACACTTTTTCCCCCCCAGACCTTACCTTCCAGGACGCTGGTTACTTGAGTTCCATGTTACCGTCAGAAACCCAGCGCCCCTAACACTGCTCTGTTGGGCTGCCTGGCTCAGGTCATGCATGATCCCAGGGTCCTGGGATCAAGTTCTGCATCAGGCTCCCTGCTCAGCCTGCCTCTCCCACTGCCTGTGCTCTCTGTCTCTCTGTCTCTAACAAATCAATAACTAAAATCTTAAAAAAAAAAACAAAACCAGGGGTGCCTGGGTGGCTTAGTGGGTTAAGCCGCTGCCTTCGGCTCGGGTCATGATCTCAGGGTCCTGGGATTGAGCCCTGCATCGGGCTCTCTGCTCAGCGGGGAGCCTGCTTCCTCCTCTCTCTCTGCCTGCTTGTGATCTCTGTCAAATAAATAAATCTTAAAAAAAAAAAAAACCCAAGCAAAACAAAACACGGTACTTTGTCATTACCAGATTCTGCTGGACCTCCTGGCTCTTTCTAGCAGGATGTGTTCAGTTGTAAGAAATTAGCCCAGCTCAGACGAGCTGAGACAAGGGAGAATTTGTGGGTCCGCGGAATTAAAAAGAATACGCGTAGGCCAGGACCCAGGCCCAGTTGAAAACGGCTCTGGATCATTTCTTCTGTGATTCCCTTACCTCCGCCCTTCAGGCTGAATTGGTTCTCACGTTTGTCTTTTCCAACCTGCTCTTGGGAGATTTATTTAAAGAACTGGCGCGCCCTGAACTTCTAGCACACACCCACCCCGCTTTCTGTGTACTTCTAAAGCAGTTGTTCTCTGAACCTCTTGTCCCTGTTAGTCCACCAAAGGCTTGGCATTTTCTTAAATATGCCATATCTAAATGCAAATATTTATAGGGTTACTGTGAGTTACAGTTTGCCATTTTTATCATGCCTCTGTCTTCTGGAGAATCTTTTCCTTTCCCCCCGTGTAAAATTAGATTTTTTTTTCCTAAAAAATAATGCCTGAAAGTTTTAGGTAAGCAAAATAATTCAGAAAAAGCACTCACGTGACATTGCTGACATACGTAAACAATACTGGATATTTTTAGGGTATCTGTGCATATGGATACGGATCTGTTCATTTTTACAAAACTAGGATAATATGCATACGATGTTGTAACTTGATTTTCTTCCCTCAGTAATATGTTGGAAGGATTTTCTACCAATATTGGTCTATAACATACGTAGCAGATTTTAACCAATTTCCTGTCGAATGTTCAGTTTGTATCTTCTAAGCAGTTCAATGAAACGTTAGAACAATGACATCCATTCTCATGCTTTCGTACTGTTATTTCCTTGGAAGAAATTTCTAGAGCCGGTGCTGTATCCAAGAATAATGGCTTTTAGGATTTGGTATATACTGGGCAGTTATCTTCCAAAAGTACACAAGACTGCTCATTTCCCTACCCTTCTGAGTAAAGCATTTACAATCTTGATGGGATAAAAATGGCTTCCTGGTATTTGTCTTGCTTACCAGAAGGAAAAAAAATCCTCTGTGGACAAAGATACCAGGCAGAGCCTCCACATATTTTTATAATCAATGTCTGGCTAAAACCTAAATTAGTTCTTTTCAGGAAAAATAAAGACTAAATGACCCAAAACAAAAAGGTGATTGAAATTGACCCGCAGTGATCCAGAAATTGGAGTTGCCGAACATGGATTTTTAAAATAATTTCTATTATGTTCATGAAGATACAGAGAATTTCACCAGAGAACTGCAATAATTTAAAAAAAATCTAACAGTTCTGGATTTGACAAATACAGCAACACATTAAGAATTTAGCAGATGGCCTCAAAAGCAAATTAGATGTGGCTAATGCTGTTTATTCTCTAGCCAAAAAGCTCAGTGGGCAGAGGAACTCCAGGGCAGACATCATATTTTATGGTGTAATGTCTATGCAGTGAATGTTTATAGAAACAACGAGGCTTCGGAGAGTAGGATCCTTGCTGGAGAGAATGAGTTTTGGGAGCCCTGTGGGCAACAGGTCCCAGGCAGACATGAACAAGTCTTGCTTTTGAAAGTCAAACCAGACAACTCGGCCAATAAAAATCCTTGCTGAGATTTCTTTCCAAATCCGTGATTCTGGAGCTTCTGTCCTTGGTAATTAGGGCGAGATAGTGTGGCTGCACTTGGGAGACTTGGAAAAGAAAAAGAATGTGGAGGATTTGATTCAGAAGCCCAGGAAGAGAGGTGAGAACAACAAGCGTCTCAGGTGGGGGCGGTCTTTGCAGGTAAGAAGAAAGGTGAAGCTCATCTTCAAGGAAAAGCGTATATGAGCAAGTGTTTGAAGTAAGGGAGGAGCCAGTTGTTGTAGCTGGTTAAATGTTACACTCCTACCAGGTTATGCCCAGACTGTGTAGTCAGGAAGGTCGGGCAGACCTGGTTTTACAGATGACTCTTCGTTTTGCTTCTAAAGGAAAACAGTTCAGTGAATTCAGGGAAGTGAGATGTCTTTTCTTCCTTGCGTACCTGGTCCAGCCTCAGGGATGGATGGCTCTGTCCAATGAGGGAATCTTAACATCCACAGGGGGTTGGGAGGATGGGTACTGCAGGGACACCATTCTTTCTTTTTGTTTTTTCTTTCTTTTTTTTTTTTTTTAAAGATTTTTATTTATTTGACAGAGCACACAAGCAGGGGGAGCAGCAGGCAGAGGGAGAAGCAGGCTCCCAGCTGAGCAGGAGCCCGATGCAGGACTCGATGCCTAGACCCTGGAATCATGACCTGAGCCGAAGGCAGATGCTTAACCGATTGAGCCACGCAGGCGCCCCAAGGACACCGTTCATATGTATTGGAACCTCGGGGAGGCAAGTGATGGTAATCCCCATTGTAACGGGCTTGAGAAGTTTAAAACCATTGCCCTGGTTCCCACAAGTAGCAGGATTTGCCAAAATTCAAAATTTTAATTCTTAATTATGAAAAATCTCAAGAAGAGAAAATATAATGGTTCCCCACATAGTCATCTCTCAAATTCAAGTTACCAGGATTTTATGTTTGCTTAATCTATCCCCTCTTACTTTTTATTTTAAATGCTGAGATAATGTAAAACAAATCCCTGATACCTTATTTCACACCTATCTATTTCAATAGGCATCTCTTTAATATTGGCTTTTTTTTTTTTTTACAAAACCACAAAGCCACTATCAAACCTAACAAAATACTGAAATTTCTGTGATTGCTTTGAATGTTTCATTTTTTTTAAAGATTTTATTTATTTGACACAGAGAGAGAGATCACAAGTAGGCAGAGAGGCAGGCAGAGAGAGAAGAAGGAAAGCAGGCTGAGCAGAGAGCCTGATGCGGGGCTCGATCCCAGGACCCTGAGATCATGACCCGACCTGAAGGCAGAGGCTTAACCCACTGAGCCACCCAGGCACCCCTCAAATGTTTCATTTTAGTCTAGTTTTTTCTTTTCTTATTTTTCCTTTTCTTTTTTTACTTTATCTTCCTCCATATCCCTCCCTTTCCCCCCCCTAATTTTGGAATTGGGATTATACTGGCCTCTTTTATTTTCTGGAAGAGATTGTGAAGAATTAATTCTGATTATTCTTTAAATATTTGGTAGAATTCTCCAGTGAAACCTTCTGGGCTTGGGTGTTGTGCTTAAGCACCCAAATGTGAACTCAGACTGCTTAGGTGTAGGTACTGGTGTGTGACCACTTAACGGTTGTTTGACCATATCCAGGTAAGTGAGCCTCTCTGCCTCTCTTTCTCCATTGTTGAATGAGGCTAATATTTGGAATACTAGGAATGAAAGACTTAATACATGTCAAGCAGTGGAACCTGTACCCAGCTCACAATAACAACTCGTGGATCTTTGTCTCACTGATCTGGTATACACACACTCACACACACACTCACACACTCACAAAACTTTGGCAAGCAGTTCTTAATAGTTCCACACCAGAAGCAATCTTCTGAGATCAAGAATAACACATTCTATGTGTTATTCTTGTGTTATCTATATGTATAATTATGGATTTTAGCCAGTGCTAGGAAACCATAACTAAACAAGGAGTAGAAAGAAAATGAATTATTTGTGGATATTATCATGTATGTAGGAAATCCCAAAGAATCTATAAATAAAATAGAAGGGTGCTGGGTGGCTCACTTGGTTACCTGATGGACTCCTGATTTCAGCTCAGGTCGTGATGTCAGGGTCGTGAGTTCAAGCCCCGAGTCAGGCTCTGCGCTCCTCTCTGAGTCTGCGTGAAATTCTCTCCCTGTCTCCCTCTGCCCCTGATCTTACACCGTAGTATATAAAAAAACAGGAAATTGACACTGTATTACCAGTTCTACAAACACTCTGTGTGTCTGTGTATATATATCTATGTGATTTTATGTAGTTTTATGTAACCACCACTGCGATCCAGAAACAGAGCTGTCCCATCCTCATAGCCCCCCCGCTGATACCCTTATAGCCGGACACCCCCCCCCCCCGGCAACCCTCACCCCTGGCAACCGCTACTCTGGTCTCCGTCCCTGCAATTTCATTTCAAAAATGTTACATACTTGGGGCGCCTGGGTGGCTCAGTGGGTTAGGCCGCTGCCTTCGGCTCAGGTCATGATCTCAGGGTCCTAGGATCGAGCCCCGCATCGGGCTCTCTGCTCAGCAGGGAGCCTGCTTCCTCCTCTCTCTCTGCCTGCCTCTCTGCCTGCTTGTGATCTCTCTCTGTCAAATAAATGAATAAAATCTTTAAAAAAAAAATGTTACATACTACACCCTGGCTAACTGAACATAAGAAAGCATATGTCTTGCTAACCTTCAAAACAATGTTACATAAATAGAACCCTACAGTGTGTAAGCTTTTGAAATTGGCTTTTTTCATTCAGCATAATGACCTGGAAATCCAACCAAATTGTTGCTTGCATCAATAGTTTGTTCGTTGACCTTAAGAAGAAGAGTTATGTTACCAGCAAAAATGGGTTTATTCGGGAAGAGCAGAGATCGCAGTTTGGGGGCAACAGCAGCAGCAGAAACCACAGGTAGTCCGACGAAGGAGAGAAATGTTCTTTTCTGCAGGAGGAAGTTGGAAGAGGTCACTTCCAAGGAAAGTCCCCTGGACAAAGGCAGGCGTTCAGGGTGATAAGTCTGTCTCTGGCAGAGCTGCTGTCCTCTAGGAGAGGTGGTGTATGCTGCCAGAGGCGATGCAGTCTTTGAGCCTCAACTGATGATTCTTTCCTGTTGAGAATTCTTCTGTTGGGGTCTGTAATTGACACTTAAAAAAAAAATTTTTTTTTTTTTTTACTTATTTGATAGACCTAGGGAGTACACATGGGGGGAGCAGCAGAGGGAGAGGGGGAAGCAGGCTCCCCACTGAGCAGGGAGTCCCATGCAGAGCTGGATCCCAGGACCCCGAGATCATGACCTGAGCCGAAGGCAGATGCTCAACAAACTGAGCCGCCCAGACGCTCCTGTAATCGACACTATTTTTTAAATAAAAAATTTTTATTGTGTTATGTTAGTCACCATACAGTACTTCATTAGTTTCTGATGTCGGGTTCCACAATTCATCGTTTGCATACAACACCCAGTGCTCCATGCAATCCGTGCCCTCGTTCATACCCGTCACTGGGTGCTCTATACAACAGGTAATCAACGCTTCCTGACGAGGGGTGGGACGGCGTGAGAGCTCCCCCTTCTGGCCTCCCGGCTCCATTGTAGCGAGGTTTCCTTTTCTTTTTATCCATAGTTCCTGTTATTGCGGTTTAGTAGTCCACGTACTACACTTTTGTTTAACCAAGCGCCTGTTAGAGGACATTTGGGTTGTTTCCGGGCTTTGATGTCATGAATAGAGCTGCTGTAAACACTCACATGCAGGTTTTTGCATAAACATGAGGTTTTTTTTCCCCCTCTGGGATACATGCTCAAGTGTGCAATGTAAATGCATGGTTTGTTTTAAACGAAATTACCGAACTATTTTCCAGAGTATTCATGATATTTTATATTCCTACCAGCAACGTCTGAGTGATTCAGTTCTTTATGGGCTTACTAGCCTAATGTCACATTTTACATTTGGAGCCACATTGTCTGAGAGTCTTCCAGAAAGACTTTACCAATATATTCTGACAAAAGGTTCGTGAGAAACGTATTTCCCCATCCCATTACCAAGTAGTATGCGCTGTCAATTTCTCTGTGTCAAATACAAGGAAATAATGAGAGGACAGATGTTGTCAAAGATACTCTGACCTCTGACATCTGGGAACTTGGATTTCTGTAGGGTTTTCACCATCCCCTCAGGGGTAAAGGCTAGGCACTGTGCGGAGACAGTGCAAATAATGTGGTTTTTCCTTTGGGGTGTCAGGAATTCGAACTCAGGCTAGGCAGAGTGTGCCCGTGTGGTGACCCTGCAGTAGAAATTTTGGTTACTGAGTGTCTAATGGGCTTTCTTCGTAGACATAATTCACCTGTCTTGTCAGAACTTGTTGCTGGGGTTTTACATGTGTTCTGTGTGACTCCATACGGAGAGGAATCTTGGAAGCTTGGATCATTTGTTTGTAGACTTCACCCCATGAGACAAAGTTATAGCTAAACCATACCAAAAAAAGAGAGGGGAGAGGAGGGAAGCACTGAGTTTCCCTAACAGAGAAAACTTGGTGACATTGTCACACCCACCCTCTCCAGCTGTTGTTAACCTTGTAGACGTTAGACCTACTGCTTAGGGTTTGAGCGAGCTTACGAGAGGGTAGAACGGGGGACTTTTAAAAAAGATTTATTGCTTAGATGGGGGAGAAGTGGAGCAGAGGGAGAGGCAGAGAGAAACTCAAGCAGACTCTGTGCTGAGTGTGGAACCTGATGCGGGGCTCGATCTCATGACCCTGAGATCATGGCTTGAGCTGGAGCCAAGAACAAAGAGTCGGACGTTCAACAGACTGCACCACCCCGGTGCCCGAGAGGAGGACTTTTATTTTTTTCAAAGATTTTATTTATTTATTTGACAGAGGGAGAAAGATCACAAGTAGGCAGAGAGGCAGGCATAGAGAGAGGGGGGAAGCAGGCCCCCAGCTGAGCAGAGAGCCCGATGCAGGGCTCGATCCCAGGACCCTGAGATCATGACCTGAGCCAAAGGCAGAGGCTTTAACCCACTGAGCCACCCAGACGCCCGAGAGGAGGACTTTTAAGGACACGGCTTCGTATTCTGCCCCTCTTCCCCTGGATGTATGATCAAAATTGATGCAAGTTCATGTACTTTTAACCTAAACACCAGCGGCATCATCCCAATAGGTGGAAGCTTCAGAGAATGTTTCAGGGGCTACCCTCCCTTGCTTCCTGCTGCCTCTGAGCAGGCTGAGATTTAAATTTTGAATTCTGGGACTAGAATGAGTCTCTAGAACTGATGATTTTTGCTGTGCCACTTGCCTTTTGGAGCCGCTGGGGAAGGGAGGCAATACGAAGAGAACCCATCGCCGTGGGGAGATACACTTACGGAGTTTTCCAAAGCAGATTTTAGTTGCTAATGAGCTCTTGGAAAATCAGGTATCTGACCTGAGCGGCAGCCGCTTCTCCCACCTGGTGTGCTTAATTTTGAAGGGTCAGTTTGGGCTCGAAGAATGACTAGGTAGAAAGCGCTTCGGACATCTTTACTTGGACTTGGGCACAGCTGTCTGACCGTAGAGCCTCTGCGCTGCTGCTACCAGAGGAAAGCGGCTGCTTTCTGGGATGCTGAAATCACAGATCCCCCTGGCCTGGACCTGTCTCTGGGCTGAAACCCGACACTCGTCTGCCCTAGCGGTTTCAGCCCCAGCGTGCACTGGGCCCAGTGGGGTTGGGACGGAACTGTTCCACTCAGGAAACTGGCTCAGACTATGTGACCTTTATAGCCAAAGTACATAGCCAAAGGGAATGAACGCGGATTATGCAGGAGATGCTGTGCCCCATGTTTATTACAGCACTAGTCACGATAACCAAGATACGGAAACAGCCCAAGTGTCGTGTCCACCAACCGATGAATGGATAGGATGAAAAAAGGTGTGGTGTATATATACAATAAAATGCTATTCAGCGATAAGAAAAAAGGAAATTCTGCCATTTGGGACAACATGGATAAACATAGGGGACATTAGTGAGATAAGTCAAACAGAGAAAGACAAATACTATATACATATACATATATAGTATTTAATATATATTTGTATGCATAAATATATGTAGTACTTAACATATATTTAATACTAAATTTATATTATTTATATTTCTATATATTTCTATATAATTTATACTTATTTATATTTATATTAGTATATTTATATTTAATATTAAATATATATATTTAATATTTAACATATATAATATATACATAGTACTTAATATATATTATATGTATAAGATTTATATGTTTATTTAAGAGAGAGTGAGCCTGATGTGGGTCTCGATTCCTGGACCCTGAGATCATGACCTGAACTGAAATGAGGAGTTGGCTGCTTAACTGACTGAGATGCCCAGGTGTCCCACCATATATATATATTTTTTTAAGATTTTATTTATTTATTTGACAGAGATCACAAGTAGGCAGAGAGGCAGGCAGAGAGAGAGAGGAGGTAGCAGGCTCCCCGCTGAGCAGAGAGCCCGATGCAGGGCTCGATCCCAGGACCCTGGGATCAGGACCTGAGCTGAAGGCAGAGGCTTTAACCCACTGAGCCACCCAGGTTCCCCTCCCACCATATATTTTTTTATATGTGGAATCTAACAAAACAAAACAAAAACTTAAATCACTGGGCGGCTCAGTCTGTTAAGTGTCTGCCTTCAGCTCAGGTCATGATCCCGGGGTCCTGGGATCGAGGCCCACATCGGGCTCCCTGATCAGTGGGGAGCCTGCTTCTCCCTCTGCCTCTGCCTGCCTCTCTATCTGTGCTCTGTCTCCCTCTCTCTGTCAAATAAATAAATAAAATCTAAGGAAAAAAACTGAAGTCATAATAGCGAGTGAAATAGCAGTTCCCCAGGGCTAGCAGTGGGGGAATGGGAGAGATGTTGGTTAAGGCTGCGGCTGGTTACCTGATATACCGTGCAAGGATTCTGAACAACATACATGTATCATAAACATTAGGGTTGCTAAGAGACTCGATGTTAAGTGTTCTCAGCTCTGGAAGACATGATAAATCCGTGACACCATGGGAACTAATGCTACGGTGACAATCCTATTTTTATATAAACGTATCAAATCAGTCTGTTGTACACCTTAAATTTACACAATGTTATATGCCAGATGTATCTCAATCAAGGAAAAAAAAAGTGGGTGCCGCTGGGCCCCCTGGATCACAGGGAGACACCCCCAGCAGAGGGCGTATTGCCTGATGGGGTCATCTGACTCGGAGCTGCTGACCCGCAACAGGTGCCCATTCAGAGACTGATTGCCTTCCCAGCTCGCGCGACCCGTGTGTCAAACAGAAACAGTGTGGACCTCAGTGAGGAGAGACTCCGTTCAAAGGGCCTTGCAGTAGGGAGGATGCTCCAATTCCAGAAATCCGAAGGTGTTTCAAACTGAGACAGAACAGAGCTTTTCTTTTCTAAGGCGGGTAAGTGGGCACTTTGTAGGGGACGGGCAGGTGGCCAAAGCAGGGCTTCACGGGAAACGTTTCAAGTCTTCGAGGATATCCCAAGATCCCCCGAGATGCTTGAGAACAGCAGGTAAGAAAGCCAAACGCGGGGGTGCCTGGGGGGCTCAGTCGGTTAAGCATCTGCCCTCAGCTCAGGTCATGATTCTGGGGTCCTGGGATGGAGTCCCGCATTGGGCTCCCTATTCAGTGGGGAGCCTGCTGTTCTCTCTCTCTCTCTCTCTCTGCCAAATAAGTAAATAAAATCTTTAAAAAATTTTTGCTAAAAAAGAGAGAGAGAGAGAGAGAGAAACGCAGAAGTAGCAGCCAGAAAATGACACTGTGGCTCTCCCAAATCCCCTGATCTGGGAACCTCAACCCTCACCTAGACCCGCACCCCCCTCCCCGCCCAATCTGGGGCTCACACGCCCCTTCGCTCATTTTGCAGTCCGCCCTTCTTGTGTTCGGGGAACTGTTGACGTGAAGCCCAGGAAGAGCTAAGAGCCTCTCAGGCAGTGCAGGAGGTTAATTAATAAAATATCCCTGGAGGGTGATGGGAGGCTTCACCAAGTCAACAGCTGGGTGGGGTGTTGAGGGGCACGTGCAGGTTCTCGTGCCTGCCCTTCAGAAATGAAGGGGACGAGGGCCTCCCAGGTGGAGACACTGGCCTGGGCAAAGTGGGGAGAGAACTTGACTCAGGAAAGACTGTGTCTGGACAGTTGGGTTTAGAAGGGCCCCTGCTGGTGTCCTGGGCAAAACTGAGCCAGGCTCACCAGACCTGTCTTTGGTCTGGTGGGTTTTTCTGTGCAACTCCCAGTTGAAGGCATCTCCAGGGTTCCTGGAGCCCGAGAGAGGAAGACCCTGTGCCCTGCACGGCTCTGTGTGATTTCTGCATCTTTACCACATTATGCCTCCCAACAACCCTCCAAGGAAGCTACGATTATCTTCCTCTTCCCTAGATGAGACAACAAAGCGGAGAGAGAGGTAGCAGGTCAGTGTTAGAACCTCAAAGATGTGGCTCCAGAAACCACCCTCTTCCCTGTGTCTTATTATCTGGCAAACAGGTCCTTTGTCAGCAGGAGGTTTCTCTTTTCTGTGTTTGTCCTCCTCTCCTTGTGGTGGGCTGCAGAGCGGCCCCAAAGATGGCCATGTCCTAATCCCCGGAGCCTGTGAACATGCTCCCTTACAGGGCAAAAAGGACCTTGCAGGGGTGATTAAGGGTCTTGAGATGGGGAGAGTAGCCTGCACTATCCAGGTGGACCCAATGGAATCACAAGACTCTTACAAGAGGAAGACAGGTGGCTGGAGGAAAGGAGCAGTGTTCTGAAGCTGGCTTTCAAGATGGAGGAAGGGGCCACGAGCAGCTTCTAGAAGCTGGAGGAAGCAAGAAACGGATTCTCCCTGTGGAGTTTCCAAAAGGAATCAGACCTGCTGTCGCCTTGATTTTAACTCTGTAACACTCCCTTTGGACTTTTAACTGCTAGAACTGGAAGAAAAGAAACCAAAAGGAATTGGTTTAAGTTAGCACAAAGTTGGGTTTTTACAGCCACCACAGGAAGCAAACCCGATCCTGCACTGACCTTTGGCTGATTCGGTGAGCGTCCCCTCTCCTCTCTGTCTTTAAAGCAAAGAGCAAAGAGCAGAAGCTCTAGACTCAGAACCGGATTCGGGTCCGGCCACCACCTCTTCAGAGCTTTATGACCTGGGTAACTTTGTCTCCCTGAACCTCAGTCTTCCTATTTGTTAAATGGGAACAACAATCCTCAAAATCCTCATTGTTTGTGTAGAATCTATCTACTGCCAGATCTTACATAGATAAACTCACAAAAGCCCCCAGACAACTCTATGGGTTGGGTTTTGTTCCCGCTACTCAGGTATTTTTTTTTAAGATTTATTTATTTATTTGATAGAAGGAGATCACAAGTAGGCAGAGAGGCAGGCAGAGGGGGCGGGTGGGGGTGGTGGTGGGAAGCAGGCTTCCTGCTGAGCAGAGAGCCTGATGTGGGGCTCGATCCTAGGACTCTGGGATCATGACCTGAGCTGAAGGCAGAGGCTTTAATCCACTGAGCCATTCAGGTGCCCCTACTCAAGTATTGTTAAACAGGGACTTGGTCTTTGTGGAACAGGACACATAAAAGTTAAAGTTTTCATTGGCTCATGAACGAAGAAGGGGGATGTACCTTTAAGTCTCTTCTGGCTTCCAGAAGAAAATCCACCAGTAATTATTCCTTTTAATAAAACAAATAATAGGGGCGTCTGGGTGGCTCCATCGTTAAATGTCTGTCTTCAGCTCCGGTCATGATCCCGGAATCCTGGGATCACGTCCCATATCCGGCTCCCAGCTCTTCGGGGAGCCTGCTTCTCCTTCGGCCAGCTGCTCCCCCTGCTTGTGTTCTCTCTCGCTCTCTCTCTGTGTCAAATAATCTTTTTTTTAAATAAATTGTTTTACACTTTTCTGAAACTTTAATTCCACTGTAGTTAACTTACAATGTTACATTAGTTTCAGGTGTATAATATGGTGATTGAACATTTAGATGCAACCTGGCAATAAAAAAGATGCATTTTAAAAAATGCACTTGTGGTAATGAGCACTGGGTAATGTATGGAAATAAGTAATCCAAAAATAAAACAAATATAAATATTCAGGACCGGAATGACCAGGCTGGGAGCTCCGAGGAACAGTCCTTGGTGCTACCGGACCCTGCTGTTCTCATTCCGGGAAAAATTGCAGTAGCCAGAAACCAACTCCTTCTCCACTCCCCAATCCATGTGGGGCTGTGTCTGTTTCATGTAAGGCCCCCCCCCCTTTTTTTCCCAACTTTCGCAAAGATGCCAGCTAGGCTAGAAATTTCCTGGCCTTTCTCTCATGACTTCTTTTCCTTTCTCTAGTTCTGTCTTCCTGACTCTGACCGTCCCCAGAAAAAAAGGAGACAATGACCGACTTTCAGGTAAGTTGTGCTTTTTATCTCCTTTTGCAATGAGCGGACGCATCTTTTTCTCAATTTCATGAAGACTGAAAGAGGACACCGAGTAGTCAGGATCATAAAATATCAGACAGTTACTTTTTATTATTTGATTTCATTTATGGTTCTCATTCTTACTTTTGTTTCACAAACCGTGTAAAGGTAAGAATTCCTATGTTACTTTATGCTGCTTACAACTCAGCTGTTCTCAATGCTCTTTTAAAATAGACCTTCATAACTCCAGTTGTAATTATAGAAATGATGGAAAAAGTATGATTTTTGACTGGTGCTTTCTTTGCCCATTTTTAAATGACGACTTTGAAATGTAATTTGCATAGCATAGAATTCATCCATTTGAAGTGTAAAATACAGTGGTTTTGGCATATTCAGGTAAGTGCAACTATAACCATAATTTGACCATAATTTTAGAACATTGTCATCATGTCAGAAAGCGACCGTGTACCATTCAGCTACAACACTCCCCATGAAAATGGAATCATCTAGTATGTGGTCTTTTATGAGTGGCCTCTTTGATTTGGTGTAATTTTTTTCAAGGTTCACGCTGTCACATGTATTACTGCTCCTTTTTAGGACTAATATTCCGTTGTGTGGATGTAGCATTTTGTCTCTTCATTAGTTTGGATGATTTCAAGCTTTTGGCTGTTAGGTATAATGCTATTGTAAACATCGGTATCTAGGTTTTTTGTGTGGATCTATGTTCTCGTTTCCCTGGGGTGTTTCTCTTGGACAGAGGTCGAATATTGCTGATCATAGGGTAACTCTCTGTGTCTGACCACGTGAGGAACTGTTCGACAGTTTTCCAAAGCGTCTGTGCTATTTTATACTCCCACCGGGAATGGAGGGCTGGTTCTGGTTTCTCCGTATCCTTTTCGTTTATTTCCAGCCCTCCTCACTTAGGAATAAAGCTGCTATAAACGTGTCGCATATCGTGTTGGGATGTGTGTTTTCTTTTGGGTAACTACCTAGGAGTAACTACATAGGAGTAAGATTGCTGGTTCTTAAGTTTTAGTCTGTTTGATTGCAAACCATCAAACCCTTTTCCAAAGAGCTGTTATAGTTTGTGCAACAGTTCGAGTTGCTCAGCAGTCTCAAAAGAACTTGGTATTTTCAAATTTTTTTTGTTTTCAATTTGATCCATTCTAATAGGCATGTAGTAGTATCTCGTTGTAGTTTTAATTTGCATTTCCCTAGGGCTAAAGATACTGAGCATGTCCACATGATTATTGTTCATTATGTTTTTTTGAAAGTGTTTGGAAATTTTCCATTAAAAAAAATTGGTTGTCCTAAGGGTTTTAGAGGGGAGGGCAGTGGGGGATGGGTGACTTGGTGGTGGGTATTAAGGAGGGCGCATATTTCATGGAGCACTGGGTGTTGTACATAAACAATGAATCTTGGAACCCTGCATCAGAAACTAATGGTGTAGGGGCACCTGGGTGGCTCAATGGGTTAAAGCCTCTGCCTTCGGCTCAGGTCATGATCTCAGGGTCCTGGGATCGAGTCCCTCATCAGGCTCTCTGCTCGGCGGGAGCCTGCTTCTCTTTCTCTCTCTCTCTCTATCTGCCTGCCTCTCTGCCTACTTGTGATCTCTGTCAAATAAATAAATTTAAAAAAAAATCTAAAAAAAAAAACTAATGGTGTATTTTATGGTGACTCACATAACACAATAAAAAAAATTAAAAAAATTTAAAAAAATCCGTTGTCTTGTTGAAGATTATTTGACCATAGAGCTGAGGGTCCATTTCTGGGCTCTCTCTTCTGTTCCAGTGGCCTATGTGTCTGTTTTTGTGCCGGTACCATGCTCTCTGCGTGATCACAGTTTTGTAGTACAGCTTGAAATCAGGCAACGTGATGCCCCCAGCTTTGTTTTTCTTTCACAATATTTCCTTGGTGATTCGGGCTTCTTTGTGGTTCCATACAGATTTTAGGATTGTTTGTTCCAGCACTTTGAAAAGTAATTTACTGTTGGTATTTTGATCGGGACGATGTTGAAAGTATGGATTGCTCTAGGCGGCATAGACCTTTTAGCAATGTTTATTCTTCCAACCCATGAGCCTGGAATCTTTTGGTGTCTTCTTCAATTTCTTTCATGAGTGTTTTGTAGTTCCTGGAGTATAGATCCTTTACCTCTTTGATTAGGTTTATTCCAAGGTATCTTATGGTTTTTGGTGCTATAGTAAATGGAATTGATTCCCTAATTTCTCTTTCTACAGTTACACTGCTAGTGTATAAGGTTTCACTTACTTGTGAAGCATAAGGAATAACATGGAGGACATTAGGAGAAGGAAAGGAAAAGTGAATTGGAGGAAATCCGTGTGGTGCATAAACAATCTTAGAACACTGAAAAAATAAAAAAAGCAATTGATTTCTGTGCATTGATTTTTTTTTTTATCCTGTCACATTACTGAATTGCTGTATGAGTTCAAATAATTTGGGGGTGGAGTCTTTTGGGTTTTCCACTTAGGTATCATGTCATCTGCAAAGAGTGTGATTTCTTCTTTGCCAATTGAATAATTTTATTTCTTTTTTTGTCTGGTCACTCTTGCTAGGACTTCTAGTACTATGTTGAACAAGAGTTGTGAGAGTGGGCATCCTTGTCGTGTTCCTGATCTTAAGGGAAACGCTCTCAGCTTTTCCCCATTGAGAATGATATTCGCTGTGGGTTTTTCACAGATAGATTTTTATGAAGTTGAGGAATGTTCCCTCTATCCCTATACTCTGAAGAGTTTTAATTAGGAAAAGATGCTTCTTCTGCATTAATTCAGAAGACCATGTGATTCTTGTCTCTTCTCTTATTTATGTGTTCTGCCACATTGATTGATTTGTGAATGCTGAACCACCCTTGCATCCCAGGGATAAATCCCACCTGGTCATGATGGCTAATTCTTGTAATGTACTGTTGGATCTGATTAGCTAGGATCTTGTTGAGAATCTTGGCATCCATATTCATCAGGGATATTGGTCTGAAATTCTTTTTTATGGAGTCTTTGCCTGGTTTTGGGATCAAGGTAATGCTGGCCTCATAGAAAGAGCCTGGAAGTTTTCCTTCTGTTTCCGTTTTTTTTTTGGAACAGCTTCAGGAGAAAGTTATTCTTTTTGGAATGTTCAGTAGAATTCCCCAGGGAATCCAACAGGCCCTGGACTTGACCCAGCAATCGCACTACTGGGTATTTACCCCAAAGATACAGACGTAGTGAAAAGAAGGGCCATATGCCCCCCAATGTTCATAGCAGCAATGGCCACAAAGATCAAACTGTGGAAGGAGCCACGATGCCCTTCAACAGACGAATGGATAAAGAAGATGTGGTCCATATACACAATGGAGTATGATGCCTCCATCAGAAAGGATGAACACCCAACTTTTGCATCACCACGGATGGGAGATCATGCTGAGTGGAATAAGTCAAGCAGAGAGAGTCAATTATCATATGGTTTCACTTGTGGAGCATAAGGAATAGCATGGAGGACATTAGGAGAAGGAAGAGAAAAATGAAGGGGGAGAAACTCGAGTTGGAGACAAACCATGAGAGACCATGGACTCTGGGTAACAAACTGAGGGTTTTAGAGGGGACATGGGTGGAGGGATGGGTGAGCCTGGTTATGGTTATAAACGAGGGCATGGATTGCATGGAGCACTGGGTGTTAGACGCAAACAGTGAATCCTGGAACACTACATCAAAAACTAATGATGTACTGTATGGGGACTAACATAATGAAAAAAATCAGTTGTCTTACTGAATTCTAAGACTTTTTTGTAAATTCTGGATGCAAGGCCTTTATAAGTTCATCTTCTCTCACTTTGTGGCTTAATATTGAAATTTTATAATTTTATAATCGTGTCATGAGAAGTTTTTAATTTAATGAAATTTATCAAGTTTTCTTCTCATTCATCCTTTCTACAATATAAATCTTGGAATAACTCATGTTTATAAAGGGTTCTCCCACATTTTCTTATTTTTTTATTTTATTTTTTTTAAACATATAGTATATTTTTATCCCCAGGGGTACAGGTCTGTGAATCGCCAGGTTTACAGATTTCACAGCACTCACCATAGCACATACCCTCCCCACTGTCCATAACCCCACTTCCCCCAACCCCCCTCCCCTCATCAACCCTCAGTTTGTTTTGTGAGATTAAGAGTCACTTATGGTTTGTCTCCCTCCCAATCCCATCTTGTTTCATTTACTCTTCTCCTACCCCCTTAACCCCCCATGTTGCATCTCTACTTCCTCATATCAGGGAGATCATATGGTAGTTGTCTTTCTCCGATTGACTTATTTTGCTAAGCATGATACCCTCTAGTTCCATCCACATCATCGCAAATGGCAAGATTTCATTTCTTTTGATGGCTGCATAATATTCCATTGTGTATATATACCACATCTTCTTTGTCCATTCATCTGTTGATGGACATCTAGGTTCTTTCCATAGTTTGGCTATTGTAGGCATTGCTGCTATAAACATTCGGGTGCATGTGCCCCTTCAGATCACTACGTTTGTATCTTTAGGGTAAATACCCAGTAGTGCAATTGCTGGGTCATAGGGTAGTTCTATTTTCAACATTTTGAGGAACCTCCATGCTGTTTTCCAGAGTGGTTGCACCAGCTTGCATTCCCACCAACAGTGTAGGAGGGTTCCCCTTTCTCCGCATCCTCGCCAGCATCTGTCATTTCCTAACTTGTTAATTTTAGCCATTCTGACTGGTGTGAGGTGATATCTCATTGTGGTTTTGATTTGTATTTCCCTGATGCCGAGTGATGTGGAGCACTTTTTCATGTGTCTGTTGGCCATCTGGATGTCTTCTTTGCAGAAATGTCTGTTCATGTCCTCTGCCCATTTCTTGATTGGATTATTTGTTCTTTGGGTGTTGAGTTTGCTAAGTTCTTGATAGGTTTTGGACACTAGCCCTTTATCTGATATGTCGTTTGCAAATATCTTCTCCCATTCTGTCAGTTGTCTTTTGGTT